ATGATATCTATCAGAGATGAGAAATCCCCTCCTAGAAAATGACTAAAAAAAAAGTGTCGGTTTTGTGAAATTGTGAAGCAGAAAAGCAAAAGCAAGAGAACACAAACAATTAAAAGATAAGGATAAACACCAATAGATCACATGGGACAAGGTGTCAATGGTATTAAATGATTGGCTCACCTATCCTGCGGCTGATCCTATGAGGTGATTGCCCGCATGGGATGTTGTCACATGTGGCAGTCGGACTTGGGCAGGAAAAAAAATGGAAAAGTGCTTTACATTAAAACCGAAAGTTACCATAAATTTACAGTTACTAATGAGGATTGGGCATACCTTCCAAACTATTTAGGTATAGGTACACATCCACATGAAGCACTGGATTTTTACAAAACTAAAACCATGTACTTAAACCCCCCACCTTTGTATGAATCATTGAAAGAACGGAGTTATGGGAAGTGCTACGGAGTACAAACTTAGTAAATGAAGTAAAGTAAAGTACCGTAATTACTTTACTGTATGTACCAAATGATGAGATCAGCTGGTTCTTTCCAAATGACGCCCAAACACCATATCATTTCCCCTCTCTTGATCCCCTTTGCGCTCTGATGCTCTACCACCTAACCCTTTTACAGTCAGTCCACTGGTCTCATGAGAAACTCGGAATCTCCATTAAGCGCCACCCCGCAGTTTATCATCACACCCTCAGCATCCCAACTGACTCACAGTTCGCTTTCAAGATTCCCTATCTTTTTTCTCTTCTGTTCCTCTCTTCTGACTTTTCATTTTCACTTGGTCCACTTTCAATGGACCATTCCCCTTTTCATCAAAGTGACATCTTGGGCCATTGGAGCCTTAACGCCGAGACTTAGGTCATATTGGCTTATCGCCACTCAAGAGAGACAAAGAGGCAGACCTGACAAATCACTTGTATTTGCCTGGTGATTCAACTTCCATTGACTTCCATAAACACTCGCTCATCAACTTTCGCCATCCATCTTCCCACCATTCCTGGTGTATTCATCCCCTCCCCCTTATCTTTCCGGATACCTTAGGCCTGGACACCATTGACTACTTTAACCTCTCTTTGCCAATTGCCGTTGGCTTAACGGTATTTAATCTGAAATGACTTCGTCTACTGGCTGGCAGCCAGCCAAACAGCCGACCGCTATGCACCGTCTCCCATCCGTTTCTAGCCTCATGTCACCCCCAGAGACCAAGCCTCTCGAGAGCTTTTCTGTCTCGCTTTCACCGTTTGCAAAGCCTCGAGATGCTTCCGCTCATGACATACAACTTCCACCCATCTCAGCTGATCGAAAGCGGACGCAGTCAGAGGTGGACCTCCCTTCGCCACCTGTAACTCCCTACACGGGGAACAAGAAGAGCAATTCCCACGTCTCGGACCAAATTGAAAGGGAAATGGGATCCCCCAGGGACCCTGTTCTTTTCCCCCCTCAGGATTCCGTTACTGACGTTGCCACGGATGAGCCGTTGTTCGGCCCCGTTCACCCACCATCTGCGGAGGCACTTGTGGAAGAGCACATGAAATCACACATGGCAATTTTTCGCAATAAGTTGAATAAACCCACACGAGATGAATATCTCCTAGCGCTCTCTTGTGTTCCCATTGTTTCAACCCAGTACAATCGAAATCCGGGTGCTTGGGCCCGAGAGGAACGGGAGACGCTGGAGCGCCAAATGGCCATGATGAACCGCTATCGCTCAGGAAACTACGAACCAAAGTTGAAGAAGATTGCTCCTGCTCCAGTTAAAAGATCAGGAACTCAACCGCGCGTGCAGCGAAGCCGGGTCAAACGTACCCCTAAATCCACACCTAAGCAGCAGGTGTTTGATAACTTCGATCCCCCCCAAACTCCGCTTACCAAACCGCGTGCCTTGGGTTCGAATCGCGATGACACCGATTATCACTCACTCAGGGACTATTCACCCCCGGTAGACACGCTAGGCAGTAATGCCAAAGCATTGAAGGCCGATTGGAAGGGGCAGATGTTAGATTTGAGCAATGACCCGGACAGAAACAATCTCTGTCCCGCCGAGCTCAGTCTAGCCTCCACCCTGAGACTTTCATGTGCGACTTACCTATGCAGCAAGCGTCGAATTTTTGAAGCTCGAGTTCGAGCTCTTGGCGTTGGCAAAGAGTTTCGCAAAACAGATGCGCAGCAGGCTTGCAAGATCGATGTCAATAAAGCCAGCAAACTTTGGACCGCTTACGAACGTGTGGGTTGGTTTAAAGCTGAACATTTCCACCAGTACCTAGCATGATATTGCAGGTTAAATATTCTGATGGTACCGTTAATAATGATTCCGCCAATTCAACAAAGCCCGTGTGTCGCCTCCCATCACGAGCTGAGCCATCAAAAACACCGTTCGCAATAACTGACCCCTCCATCCCAGTGTCTTATTACTGCGAAATACAGCCCTCGTCTCTTAATTCATACTTGGGTGCTCTCAGCTCTCTGAACCTGGCCAAGACATCATACATGGATGGGTGTTCCCTGGATCAAACCATCTCACTTGTTGGCCTTTCGGTTTCCTTTTCAATTGCTATTTTGCTCTTACGACTCGTCATGACACGTTCTTCTTTCTTTTTCTTTTCCTTCTGAGATTCCCCCCTTTCTTGACTTGCTTGTTTTGCATACAGACACCTCATGGGATTTGGTCTTTTTTTTTCCAACTTTGATTGCTGGTTACATGGCGTATGGGTGTTTTAATTCCGTTTCGCTTTGGTCTAGAATGGCAGGCTCGGCTAGCCACAGGTGTTTTCTTTTTTCTATTGCGATGGAATTTACGACTTGTTCTTCTATTCCTTCTTCCTTTTTCAAATAGGCAATAGCACATAGGATAAGACCTGATGGTATGGTTCTCCTACATCACAATGAATTGAAATGAAATCGAGGCATACTTGTAAATGACATGCTATTAATAAACCGCAAACAAGACGTATAATCTTTATTCCGTTAATTTACATTAGCCACCAGTCGAAATGTCAGCTTGATACCGATGTAGTTTCTGATCGAAACCAAAATAAAGCGGTGGGGCGCAACCGTGTTCCTCCGACAGCCCGGCGCCACCTTTTTTTGACGTATCCCTTGAATCTTCTTTCCGCTTCACTCCAATCTGGACCATCCAATTTCCTCTTTGAAATAATCCTGGTCAGAAGCCATGTCTCAGGAGGTGACTCGTGCTGAGTCCATTGAGGAACAGGAGCGTGCAAGGGGGGATGGCGATAAGAAGCCAAAGTCTCGCCGACCAGCCAGTAGGTTCTGGGATCTCATCAACCTTTGGTCACAACTAAGTTGTTCGTACCAGATACTGCTTTCCGCCAGCAAAGATTGAAAGCATGGCAGTGAGCTTGGGATTCGTGTATCTGCACCTGGACTACCGTGCTAACCTTCCACTAGACCTATCTTAACCCCTAAAAGCGTTCTACCTCTGTTTTTTATCGTCGGCGTTATCTTTGCCCCGATTGGTGGTGTTCTCCTCTGGGCAAGTTCACTAGTATGCCTCGTTCCAGCACCCCCTTCATAGAACAGCTCTGACCAGCTGTGTGTTCTAGGTCCAAGAAATTTCCATCGATTACTCCGACTGCTCCAGACAGGCACCGACCGACAGCTATGCTTCCGTTCCTCATTATTCGGCGACCTTCAAGTCTTCTAAAGCCATATCAGCACCAACTTGGCGCAAGTCTATCAACGAGTCTGACTCGGGCACCGTTACTTGCACTCTTCTTTTCGAGGTTCCGAACGAGCTTCCAGCACCGGTTTTCATGTATTACCGCCTTACTAACTTTTATCAAAACCACCGCCGATATGTTCAGTCCCTCGATTTGAATCAGCTGAAAGGAGATGCGGTCTCCTACAGTACAATCAAGGGTGGCACATGTGATCCCCTAGCGGTCAATACCACGGCTCGGAAGGTATACTATCCCTGCGGACTGATTGCAAACTCATTTTTCAACGACACAATTGGGAAGCCCCAAATCCTAGATCCGAATGCCTCTGAGAACGACAAACAATACTACGAAATGACCACTAAAGGCATTGCGTGGGAAAGTGACAAGAAACTCATCAAAAACACAAAGTACAATATGGATGACGTACTGCCGCCACCAAACTGGGTCTGGGCCAGCGAGAACGGTGTCTACAAAGAGGATCCCAATTTACATGAAAATGAAGCCTTCATGGTTTGGATGAGAACGGCTGGTTTGCCATCGTTCAGCAAGCTCTCCCGCCGTAATGATACCCATGGCATGCCTGCTGCAAAATACTCCATCGACATTGTTGATCGTATGTGTTAAACTACTGCCGCCTCGTCCAAATTTTACTAAACTATTTAGGCTTTAATGTCACTGAATACGATGGAACCAAGTCGATCTTGATCTCTACCCGAACAGTGCTGGGAGGTAAGAATCCGTTTATGGGAATCGCTTATGTGGTTGTTGGAGGAATCTGCGTTATTCTCGGGGCTTTGTTTACTGTCGCGCACTTGGTGCGTCCGAGGTATGATTCTTTCTTTATTCTCTTTCGGAATAGAAATTTCAAACAACTAACTTCCTTGACCAGAAAACTTGGCGACCACACTTATCTTACTTGGGATTCAAATCAACCGAGCACTGCTATTGCCACGGGACGGGATAATGCCCCTTAGACCTTCTCTTCCTTTCTTCGGTTTTTTTTTTCTGGCGTTTTCTTCTTGTTTCAACATGCCCATGTAAATATTTTCTGTGCTCAATGACCTCATCCCTGAACTTCTAACATACCAATCGTTTTATTTCCTGCGATCGTTTACATGCTCGTGCCCCTTGCCCAAGACATGCATTCCCGCATGACGCAGCATTCTTAATGGAATCGATCAGGTTTTATGATCCCGCCGCGCCAACTATGGTCAACCGTTAGATTGATGGTTCTTTTTTGGTTCTTCGCCCGCTCTTACTTTCTTTTGGAACAGGCGTGAGGAGGGGAATCATCTCGACACAATGCATCATGGTCCGTCACTCATTTTTCCAACTCGTCGTTCTTGTCACTCTTTTTCTGCAGATTCGGTGCAGCCCATTTGCTGTCCAGAAAAGAGGCACCTGTGCTACTGAAGACCCCGGTGAGGATTTCTTGCACGAGCTAGGGCGTCTCAAGTCGGATGAAGCCGATCCCGCCATCTCGCAGGCCAGGAAGCTTCCGATCGAGATTGAGACCTGGTTCCACATCGTTAGCCGCAAGTCGGAGTCTACCCAAGTCACTGATGATATGATCAATCTTCAAGTCAGTTGCTGCTTTTTCGACTGGCATCTCAGTGCTAAATTTTAATTTGCCTACAGCTTTCTATTCTACAACAATCTTATGCAGATTCTGGCATTTCCTACCGACTGCAAGGTGTGACTCGTCATGTCAATGATAAATGGGCAAGTAACGCGGATGATATAGCAATGAAAACCACTCTGCGAAAAGGAAGCTATCGAACGTTAAACGTTTACTTCCAAACCGATCTCCAGGCCTCACCTGGACAGACAGGACGCGCCTTCGGGTACAGGGGTGCAGCCACCAATAATGACCTGACATCGAGCGTTCTTGGATTCTGCACCTTGCCTGATCCGAGTGTCAATGCTAGTAGCCCGGCTTCTCACTATGTCAAGGATGGCTGCAATGTTTTGGCCAAAACAATGCCCGGTGGCTCCTTGGATCTTTATAATCGAGGTGGAACTGTTATTCACGAGATTGGACACTGGCATGGCCTTTTGCACACATTCCAGGGGGAATCTTGTTCTGCAGATGATCCTGGCGACCACATAAGTGACACACCACAACAGTCCACCCCGACAGATGGGTGCCCTGCCCAGAAGAATTCGTGTCCGGACTCCCCTGGGCTGGATGCGATCCATGACTTCATGGATTATTCATCAGATGTATGTTATGAGCGCTTTACACCCGGACAAGGAGCGCGCATGCGAAGTATGTGGATATCCATGCGTGAGGGAAAATAGCGTTGACAAACATTTCAACACAGGCTCCGTGTGGAGTTCATTCGCAGCCACATGTCCACATAGGATACGCAAGGTCAGAATCTAGCCGGCCTGTTACCGTAGTTAGTTTTTGCGATTTAGAGTAATGCTATCTGTCTAAAGATTCCTTGAACGAATAGCAAGCGTAATTATTGGGATACAGTACAGCAACGAGACGTTGAGAGACTAGTTTCTTCCCGATCAACACCATGATTTCCCATCCGCCGTGGGCTTGAGCCAAATCATACGCATTTGAAAGTCCAATCCAGAGATAAGCAAGGCATACGTAGCCGACTTAACTTGCCCATCGATTGAAACACAAAGTGCAACAAAGGAAGTAAGACGAAGTCTTTTGGTGCCCCAGCAACAATAGTCGATTAGCGCTTGCGTTTGATCCCGCGGTCATTGTCATCATGGTCGGTCTCCTTGTCTTTACGTTTCGCCTTTTCCTCAAGCGCGTCCCAGTCCTCGCCACTCTCCTCCTCGCCACTGAAGTCTTCCTCGCTGGCATCGGCACTCGCGTCGTCATCAAATTCGCTGTCTTCCTCCGAACTCTCGTCTCCAGCTGCAAGCTCCGAATCTGACAACTCGAAAGCCGACTCCTCTTCCTCATCTGAACCATTCTCAGAGTCCGACTCGGCTGATAAGAAAGACCACCCGCCATCGGCAAAGAAGCCGTACGGATCGCTGACGACCGTCTTCATGATCGTGGTCCAATTCAGGTTGAGCGGACCCTCGGTGAATGCAATGTCAACAGAATCAAGCCAGTCCTTAACACCCTCAAGTGCCTCAACAGGAATCGTGTTGATGTGAACAGGAGTGCGGCGGAAATCCTTAAAAACGAAGACCATGTCGAAGTTTTTAAGTCCAAACTACGCACGAATTAGCAAACCATGCCGACAAATAGTAATAGGCGGAAAACAATACCTGAACCCTCTCTAGATGGGCAATCTCGATTTCATTCAACGTGACAGTGGTGAAAGGAGGTTCAGTGAGCTGAACGAGGGCATCTGTGGTCGGCTGAATCAAGACATTGGACCGGTTTGGGACGCCGGTAAAGCCAATTTCCCTGAAAGGAATATCGACATCGACCCCCTCGTCCTTGCCAGCGTCCGCAATCTTCTCCGCAAAGGCCTTGAACTCGCGGTCCAACGCAGCTCTCCGTCGTCTTTCCTCCTGTTCAGCCTCAAATTCTTCCTCGTCTCCATAGCGGTGTTTGCGCCGACGGTTTCCTGTTTCATCAAATTGCATCTCAGTGGCCTCGCGATAGAATTGAATATCCTTTGTCTTTCGCTTTCCAATCATGATGGGCGTCTTGAGATGCACATGGATGAGAACGATCAATTCATGGGCACATGGTTGGAAGAACAGATGCTTCACGTTGCTAAAGAGCACGTCGACATGTTCATTGCGGAAGGGCGATAGGTACCGAAGACCATTTTGATGAATCTCGACTTCTCCCGGAACACGCTTTCCATCCAAGGGAGGTCTGAGGTATACGTCAGGGAGTTTCACTGGGCGTCGGTTTCTAATTTCAACAAGTTTATCCTGCTCAACAACATCTTCCAATTCCTTTTTCTCCTGCTCTCGTCTCAATGCCGTCTTGCGAAGTTCAGTGATATCCTGGGCAACTCGTGCAAGCCGGTCATTATCCTTGGATCGGAGAGTGAGGTTGCGAACGAAATGAGCTGACAAGTCCTCAAAGGGCTGGTCATCCTTTCGACCCACACCCTGACCTGGAGACAGGAAGTTGATTCGCAGGTAGGCGTATTCCCCTTCGTCGCTTTTGCTGGCGTTCTTTATGGTGTTGATATGGAAGGGGACTGGTCGGCCCATGATAGGCACAATCACGGTTGAAGTCTTGAGGTCGACATACACTGTAAGGTCTTTGACCTTCGTAGGGAGTTGGTTGTCGCGCTTGTAAGATTCAAAGCGCTTGAATTTCTTCTGTGCCACCCCATTCTCGTCTCCAGTAGTACCAGTGAACCGATCCAAGCCTTCCTTTGTCTTTTTCGCAGCCAGCTCTTTCTGATGCTCTCGACGACGGGCTTCAGCTCCCTCATTGACCTGAGTGGGTCTTTCAGCACGAAGTTTGGTTCTTGTGACGTTTCTGCCAGCAGTCGCGCCAGACTTCGCCTCTTTTTTCTCCTTCACAGGCTTCTCGGGTTCTTCTTCATCCCCGAAATAGAATGAGATTGAGTCCATGTCAATACCGGCGTCTTTGGTAAAAATGTGAGGCCCACTTTCCCCGACACGAACCGTATCGGTGATGACCATAGAATAGCCACCATTCTTGGCATTCTTTGAGTCTGGATCCTTCACATCAGTCAGTCCGATCGTAATAGACAGCGTCATGCCGTTTTTTAAGACGCGATTGTTCTTGGCATTGAGAACCATGTTGGCATCCCGGAGCTCGATTCCAATCCCTGCGCCAACGTTCTTGACAAAGTGTCCCTCCAGCTCAGGCTTCTTGGTACGGACAAGGCTGAGTGCCTTGTTGTAAACGTCCTTAGCAACCACACCATCTCGAACCTCTTTCATGGTTGCTTCATGGAGACTTAGCAGCAAGGCATAATTTGCTTCTTGTGATTTGGTTGGGTCAACCAAATAAGTACGCCCAATGAGCGAGCTGTATGTCTTGTATCTGATTCCAAAGCTAGACAAAATGATGCCAGGTTCAAGGTTTTTATTGTCGGGAGTCGCTGTGAGCTTGAGATCATAGGCTCCTCCACTTTGAATTACAGGCCCGTAGGCCCAGTCGATTTGCTGAGAATCAAATTCCGAGGGCAGCCGCGCCAGCTTGTTGAAGAATTTCCCATCGTCAATCTTTGCATCAACCTTTGCAGCAAGGGCCTTGTGTGTCATCTTCTTTTCTTCGTCGAGCAAACGTGACATCTCATCGACGAAGTACTCTGACATGAGGCCACTGCAAGCTCTCGAAGCATTGCGGATTGAAACCTTTAAGTCTGTATCAGCAAAAGCCACTTGTTAAACACGCTGTCATAGATAAACACACCAATTCATCAGAATCTTTGATTGCAAAAGCAGCTGAGAGCGCAGGTGCTATGTCAACCTCTTCCACTTCTTTCGATAGTTCCGCAAATGCACGTTTCCATTCATCTGCGAAGGGCCCTGAAGCGGTGTTTTTCGGTAAAGTGCCAACTTTGTTCTGCAGTTGTTGTGTGGTTAGTGGAAGGCAAATAAAACCAGTGTTTCAAGGGTTGTTTTGACTCACCCCTGCACCCTTGATGATATCCAAGCATTTATCAAACGCTTTGGTCTTTGATTCTGGGTCTTTGGCAGTGACCAGGATCTCGACCGGAATCCTTCCTTCTTTCAGCGGCTCGAGATGTTTCGCTTATGTTTGTTCACATCAGTTATACAGTGTGCAAAAGTCCATGCATTGATAATCACCTTTCTTGGCTGTGGTGACCACATAAATCGCTTCAGCTGTGAGAACAAACAGTGTAGCTGGGAATTCATAACCCAAAAGCCAGAACTAAGCACAAAGTCAATTAGTAACGATGTCATGAAGCTCTTGGGCTATAGGGCACCAAAATAGGACTTTGAAGGATGATTCACATACATGCATCGCATTATTCTTCTGGAATGAGTTCTCCTCATCAGTTTTGCCCATTAGAATGACGATGGACCCTGCATTGCCAAAGAGGGCATTGCCGGAGCGCCTGTCGGCCTTCCATGACGCATAGAAACTAAAAAGGCGGTTGAAAAAGTTGTTATTATCAATAACAATCTCATCAGCCATGGTAACAGCCTAGTGCGAGCAAGGTATGCCGCAGTGAGAAACTGACTTAATAGCAAGAGAGCTCGGTGTAGAAGCGAAGGAGCTATTGTAGGTATGTCTGGGTGTTAATTTGTTGAGGATAAAGAATAAGGTAGATGGGCGATGAAGGCAGCATCAATGCGACAGCTGCGATGATGAGAGACAAGACACCGATGAAGCTAGGTTGTGGAAGAAAAGACAAAGATAGAATTGCATGTCTTGGGAGAAAGCGAACGCGAAAAGCGCGTTCTTACGCTTTAGGTCTCTCTCAACTGCCGTATCTAAGTACTACCATTTTTGGACTAGCGCTATTTTCTCTCTTCTCTTGTCAACAGGGTTGGTTGATATCTCTTTTCACTGACTTTCGTTTTATTTTCAACTTTCAAGTCGACATGGCCTATGTGAGCCTTTACGTGGTCATTTGATTGGATAAAAATCACACCCTGTGATGCTGCCCTCTTTCCCGCCTACATCCCACGCTTTGGAATTCGCCATCGACATTGACCTAGTCTTTCTTTGAGACCCCATAGGCACCCTTCCCTACGATGTACACTGTGGCTTTTTAGTTGTCTGTAAACAATGAATTCTCCGATAGCTTCCATTCTTCTCGAGCCTCATCTCGGTGAACTCCCAGGAAGCTCGCGAAGGATTTCTCGCAACGATGCAGCTACCGGAGCATCTGCTGCAGGCGTTCGCGCTCTCAGTGCACAGATCGTGGCCTTTTATTTCAGAGCACCGATCAAAGCTTTCTTCCGTATGCGTGTCGAGTATGTAGTATCTGTGGACCTAATGATCTTTGTATTGACAATATTTCACCTAGTTACATGGTACATCCTCCCACAAACATACATTAGATGAGAGAATACAATCAATCCATCACAAGCCTTCGTTACTCATCATTTAAAACAGGCATTTGCAAGAGCTGTGAACCCCCGTGTCGCCGAAGGCAAATGGTCTCTGCATACGACAACCCCGGGATTATTGATCCACGCCGTTCGAACATACGGCTGGCGATTTATCCCGAATCAAGTGCTTCCACCCTTGATGGCAAATGCTGGGTGAGACATTCCCCAGTACAGGTCTTTAGTTAATTTGAAAGCACTAACAATATTTACCAGCGTTGGTGCTGTTCTCTATACGTCCTATCTCCAGGGGTTGGGAGCCCTGCATGAACCTGTGTCGCAAGGGGTCAAGCGAGTCTGGCCCCCGGCTCCTCCATCTGCAACATTCGCAGCTGGATTTATCGCCGGCACAATTCAGTCCATTGTAGCCGCCCCGCTAGACGCCTTGCAGGTTCGGTTTCAAACCAGTGACATGCTGGAGGGTCAGTACCGGAGTATGTGGCATTATGGCCACCATAAGCTCAAACAGATTGGTCTCCGCGGGGTCTTTGCAGGCTGGAGCCTGTCCTTTATGCGGGATTCACTTGGTTATGCTGTGTTCTTTTCTTCGTTCGAATACATCAAGTCACAGTCCTACTATTCCTTTGTCACTTGGTACTATGGTTCCCTGCAAGTCGATCGTGTGGGCATCCTTTCATCATCCGAGTCTAGTAATCGCGGTGTGCCGCTCATCAAACCCCACTACGCATTGGAGCCATGTTTCCTGATGATGGCTGGTGTTGTGGCATCGATCGCTCAGCAAACCATTCAGCATCCACTAAGTAGGATTCAAGATCTTCACCTGGGTCGACTGGAATATCTGGATCACCAGGCTAGTTTCATACCCTCGCGCCAGAAGATGATACGATTATACTACCACGCCTATCAGGAGACCTTCAAGAGATGCAAGCGGAAGGCTGCCCGGGCCGGGGGCTGGCCCTCCTGGTTGTTCCGTGGGTTTATCGGGAGCTCTCTTCGCCAAGTACCTAGCACCAGTGCTGGCCTGATCATTTTTGAGCTGGTGCGCCGACGGTATGCAAATCCTGCAGACACTGTCCATATTCAAAGTGATGGATATGACATTCTTCTCACTTAATAGTTTATATGACAGGTTTTTTGATACCTACGTTTCTTTATTTTCTTCTTTTCCATTGTTCATTCGGTGCAGGGCGTTCTAGGCATATAATCTTGTTTTATTAGACTTACATGCATCTATGTACATACACAAGCGATACCCGACGACATGGGGTAAAAACGGTTGTTCTTTGTTCGAGAACCAAAGGAGTTTTCTTTTCTTTTTTGGTTTTCTAATTGAACCGATTCTGCATATTTGACTTACATTTTCTCTTCATGTTATTTACCTACCTATCTCTATTTTTTACATATACTACACAGCTATTTTAGAAGTGTACGTAAATAGCAACTCATCTGTCGATCCATCCCGCATTGGACGATGCGATCTAGTATTTATTAGGACTAGCACGGACCCCCCATATGCGTACAAATCCAATACCACTTGGCAATACATAGTACAACATAACATATTGGACCTCGTTATTAGACTTGCTTGTCCACTTTTTTCTACTGTTGTATTTCGTTCTATTTGATTCCCCCCCCCCCCAAAAAATTACCTACATTAACCTAGATTCTCGAAAAAAGATTTGATGAAAATCATCATCCCTCTGTTCCATTCTATATTTGACTTTCTTTGGCTGTGTAATGCTCTCTTGCTTGGCTTGGGACCTTTACCTTTGCCCAAACGCACCCGCCTCCAATTCTCCGTCTGACCCATCACCGTACTTCGTCATCCTGCGTCCCGTGTGACTTTACGTAGCTAGTCCCGGCCACATCACCTTAGTGGTGCACTATCGCGGTCTAGTACAGTGACTTTCAAGGCTGTGCCCAAGTGGTACTGTTGCTGACTCCTCGCGGAGAACCTCTTATCGATATCATTAATTCTATCGACTCCGCATTCTTTTCTCCGGGAAAAAGGGCTGCGAGGTTCAGCCCATCACTACCGCCATCATTTCTCCGACTTCTTCCCCACGCGCCTCTTGTATACGCCTCAATTCAATACCCTCTGATTCCCGCTCGATATCTTCGGCCAAGTTACTGGAGTCTAGCGAGAAGGGTAGTCAACGGCCTTCCCACTCGTCTACTCGGTCGGTTGGGTCTGACTTCTCAACCTGGTCAGACACCGGGGACCTCGCCGAGCAGTTCGCTGGGGCTGAAGATCCGTTGCAGATTCATCTTCGCAATTCCTTAGACCGACAGCTCTTGCGTCGAAAAGAACGAAGGAAGCAGCCCAAACACGTCCACCATCCGTCAAACCCGAGTAACGAGCGTTCTGGGATTGATATTGAAAAGATCAGAATACCAAACCCTCCCACACGGCACATTTCAAGTGTTGAACGCGTTCTGGCCGCCATAATGACACCCAGAGATGAACTACACGTCCGGATGCACGGTTTAGTCGGAAAGCCATTGCTGTGAGTGCCTCAAAGGCCAGTTGTTGTATCATTATTACTGACTCGGGTGTATGTCTAGTTACTTCACGAGTGTGTTTGTATCACTGGGTGTCTTTCTTTTTGGCTATGACCAGGGTGTAATGTCTGGCATCATAACGTTCGTATCTAATCCCTCGCGCATAGAGACTCGCCATAGAGACTATGAGCAGAATGTGGCTAACAGATGCAGTGGCTGGTACTTCAAAGATTATTTCAATCAGCCTTCTCGGGCTACAATCGGTACTGTGGTTGCAGTTCTCGAAATTGGAGCGTTCATATCCTCCCTCCTTGTGGGACGTGTCGGTGATATGATCGGCCGTCGAAGGACTATACTATATGGCTCCATTGTTTTCTTCATTGGCGGCGCTTTTCAAACATTTGCCACAGGTATTCCCATGATGATGGTCGGTCGTGTCATTGCTGGTCTAGGCGTTGGCGCCCTCTCTACCATTGTGCCAGTTTACCAGTCTGAGATTTCGGTTTGTAATTCCCTTTCTTCATCGGTTCTCGACTCTTTTTGTCCCCCCCAAATTTCTCGCCAGGCTGCTGACGAATTTCAAGCCTCCCCACAACCGTGGGAAGCTCGCATGCATCGAATTTACCGGCAATATTGCTGGGTATGCGACCAGTGTGTGGGTAGACTATTTCTGTAGCTTTATTGATAACGACTACTCCTGGCGCCTCCCACTCCTTTTCCAGTGTATCATGGGTGCCTTGCTTGGAATTGGCAGTCTGATGATCTGTGAATCACCTAGGTGAGCAGAAAATCTTCTCCATCGTCTACCATGCTAACTCCCAGGTCCCTACTAAGATGGCTTCTTGACAATGATCACGACGAGGAGGGCATGGTGGTGATTGCAAATCTTTATGGCGAAGGCGATCTCCTTAATGACAAGGCCCGGCAAGAATATCGTGATATCAAGATGAACGTCCTCGTCCAGCGCCAGGAGGGCGAGCGATCCTACTCGGACATGTTCCGCCGGTATCGCAAACGTGTTTTGATTGCCATGTCGGCCCAGGCCCTAGCTCAGCTCAATGGGATAAACGTCATCTCATACTATGCGCCACTCGTTTTTGAATCGGTATGGATACCATACGCTTACATGAATCCAATGTCTCCCTTCCGCGGCGCCATGTCGGATTCAAACAAAATCCAAAATTACCCAGGATTATGCTAACCAATCTCCAATATAGGCCGGATGGGCTGGACGAGATGCAATCCTGATGACTGGAATCAACGGTATTTCATATTTGCTGTCTACCATACCACCGTGGTATCTCGTGGATGGCTGGGGCCGGCGACCGATCTTACTCTCAGGTGCCGTTGCTATGCTCATTTCGCTTTCCCTCATATCCTATTTTATTTATATTGAAATTTCCGCTACCCCAACCCTGACGGTCATCTTCGTTATGCTCTATAACGCAGCTTTCGGGGCATCTTGGGGCCCAATTCCATGGTTATACCCCCCGGAGATCTTGCCCTTAAGCATTCGTGCCAAAGGTGCAAGCTTGAGCACTGCTTCAAATTGGGCATTCAATTGGCTCGTGGGGGAGATAACTCCCGTTCTTCAGCAAATTATCAAGTGGCGGCTATATCTAGTTCATGCATTCTTTTGTGCATGCAGTTTTGTTCTTGGTAGGATCCCTCATCCATGATCATCTACTAGGGACCATTATACTGACTATCGTCACAGTTTATTTTTTGTACCCCGAAACGAGTGGGGTTCGCCTCGAAGATATGGACGTTCTTTTTGGCGATGCTTCCACCGCCATGCCAACACCAGCCACCCAAGGCGAACGAGGGTCGCTAATGGGTGCTGGCTCACCTGTTCCATCACTTGACCTGCGTCGGCAGTATGGTCAACTTGGGGCGGAGAATTCCATCCCCGGCCTAGATATTGATCCGCCGACCTCAAACCATGAAGGGACCAGCAAACGCGGACGCTCGGATTCTCGCCAGGGCAGTGTTCGCGGTGAAGGAATGGGTAGCTGGATCTCAAACATGGTTAGTCGAAACCGAGGAGTGGGCCCCAGTGCCATCAGCAGTCAATATAGACGTTTGGAGCAAGGAGAAGGAGACGAGCAATGAAAGGGCTACGGACGACTGTGTCTTGGTCCGAATCAAACAAGAAAGACCCAGGAATTCGATGTCAGAGATCTCCTTCCCTTATTTGCGAATGTCTTTGTTAATTTCTTGTGTTCACATTTGCGGTACATATCCAGATCCTTCTGTTTTCTTTTTTTTAACGAGGCTTTGTTTGATTAGTGGTACGGATGTTGTATCTATGGAATTTTCTTCCTTGTACAATAGTACTACACATAGTACTATGGTAACTAGATAGTAGTTACAGTACCTTATATAATTACATCATGTACATGTGTATGATGATGTTGATTGATGTCTACTAGTAGCATCCATAGTATCTATGGATAGTTATACATGCCACCTGTAGACTCTTATGTAAGTATCAAAATACCATAACTAACTATGAACTGATATAGCTATACATTGGTATATTAATAGTACTAGGAATGCAGGTAAGGTACTTACAGGTTGGAACTCGGAATTACAAGGGCCATGTTCTGAAAACGGCCCGCTAAAAGTGGACTTGTTTATCCTCCTTGAGGCCACGGATCTCACTTTCTCCTTTAATTCTCTCAGCCCACACTCTCTTTGCTTCACTGCACTTCATTTCATTTCATTTCTTGCTTTTTCTTTTTCTTTTTCTTTTTGAATCTACTCCTGGCATTGCTTCCGGTCTATCCGCTAGATTTGCCCACTCTATCACTCATTTGCCCAGGGGAATGGCTATGTTCTCTTAAGCTATCCACCCTTCTATTATCGGTCTACCTCGGTATTCCTCAGTTGAACTTCCTACTGTTCTGCCATTCCGTTTGGCACATTTGCTACCGAAAAATATCATAAGGTGCATTATGGTGGGCCTAGACACTGCCGTGAGCACGGGCGCCAAACACGAGTCCGACCTACGTCGAAGAAATGTCCCTGATGCTAGCAAAGTTCATCTAGACTCGACCCCGTTGAATGATGAAGATGTGAAGAAAGGTAGAATACAGGTGAGATAGCATTTTTCGCTGTCATCCTATGCGATCTACTAATCTCACTTGGACAGTCATCCTCGTTCATCCATGTGCTAGATAGCTGGGAGCCGATCATTGCTCCAATTATCCTGACTGCCCTCGCCCTCTTCACCCGCCTGTACCAGATCGGTCGTTCCAATATTGTGACTTGGGACGAGGCCCACTTCGGTAAATTCGGTTCCCACTATCTCAAACGCGAGTTCTACTTCGATGTCCACCCGCCTTTGGGGAAGATGCTAGTTGGCCTGTCCGGCTATCTTGCTGGCTATAATGGGTCTTTTGAATTCAAGTCTGGCGAGAAGTATCCAGAAGATGTGAACTATACCTTTATGCGAGCCTTCAATGCTGCCTTTGGTATCGTTTGCATTCCCCTTGCCTACTATACTGCGCGAGAGTTGAACTTCCGTCGGGCCACAGTCTGGTTGATTAGTCTGATGGTGCTATGTGAGAACTCCTACGCAACAATTTCTCGATTTATACTTCTTGACTCTATGCTGCTCTGCTTCACCTTTACTACCACAATGTGCTGGGCAAGGTTCCACCGACTGCAGCGTGATAGCTTTTCGCTGGAATGGTATGCCTGGCTTTGTTTGACTGGCTTGAGCATTGGATGTGTCTGCAGCGTCAAATGGGTTGGTTTCTTCTGCACTGCTCTTGTCGGTCTTTATACTGTTGATGACCTTTGGAATAAATTTGGCGACCTGAAGATGCCACGGGTGAGTGCCTGCTTTCAGACCCTCTCCCAAAAATCCATTACCGAATAGCTGGCTAATACAGGGGGGTTCGAGCAGGCTGTGCTTGCAAAGCACTTGGTTGCTCGCGTTGTGGGATTGATTCTTATTCCAATCTTAGTCTACATGTTTTCTTTCTATCTGCACTTCCTGGTTTTGGCGAATAGTGGTCCAGGTGATGCCCAGATGAGCTCGCTTTTCCAAGCTAACCTACAAGGTACCGAGGTTGGCAGAGACAGTCCTCTTGAGCTTGCAATTGGGTCGCGTGTCACACTCAAAAATATGGGCTACGGAGGAGGGCTTCTGCACTCCCACGTTCAAACATTCCCCGAGGGATCCATGCAGCAGCAGGTTACCTGCTACCACCACAAAGATGCCAACAACGACTGGTTCATCTACCCCAACCGACAGGAGCCGGACTACGATGCCACTGCTGATCTGCGGTTCGTTGGTGATGGGGATGTCATTCGACTGATTCATGGACAGACAGGTCGCAACCTGCATTCCCACGCTATTCCAGCACCAATCACTAAATCACACCACGAGGTATCATCTTATGGAAACATTACCATTGGAGACGATAAAGACCACTGGAAAGTGGAGGTGGTCGATGATGTTGCATCCCGGGACCGATCCAGGATCCGGACACTTACAACAGCTTTCCGACTCCGCCATCCGGTCCTAGGCTGCTATCTACGGGCAGGAAATGTCAACCTACCACAATGGGGATTCAAGCAGATTGAAACAACATGTACCAAGGAAAACAAACCCGGCGATGTTTACACTCACTGGAATGTTGAGTCTCATACTAACGACCGCTGTAAGCTTGTCTATTGTTCAAGAACTTGATATTGAAGACCCCAATCAGGCTTATTGACATATCCACAGTGCCCCCTGGTGATCCTGGCTCCTATAAATCACCCTTCTTGAAGGACTTCATCCACCTGAATGTGGCTATGATGACCTCTAACAACGCTCTGGTTCCTGATCCCGACAAGCAAGATGACTTGGCTTCCAAGTTTTGGCAATGGCCAATTCTCAATGTCGGCCTCCGCATGTGTTCTTGGGATGATGGCGTTGTCAAATACTATCTTCTAGGAAACCCCCTGGTCTATTGGGGAAGCACTGCGGCTCTTGGTGGATTTGGTCTTTTGTTCCTCTGGCACCTTCTGCGCTGGCAGAGGGGGTACAACGATCTCAGCAACGAGGAGATCAGTCACATCCACTACTCTGGCTTGTACCCAGTTATCGGATGGGTATTGCATTACCTTCCCTTTATCATAATGGCTCGTGTGACTTATGTCCACCATTACTATCCGGCTCTCTACTATGCCATCCTGAACTTCGGCTTCTGTATTGATTGGGTGACACGGAAGATGAACCCAAGATTGTCGGCAGCGGTGTATGCCTTCCTTTACGTGATTATTGTCGGATTGTTCATTCATTTCCGAGCCATCGTGTTTGGAATGGAGGGTTCTAACCAGCAATGGACTCACCTACGCTGGCTACCTGGATGGAAAATGGCAAATGTGAACTGACCATGGATTGCTTGATGAGCTTGATGACGCGCTCTCGTCCTCTCTGCTTCTTACCTCGTGTTGACCGCCTCAAACTGGATCTTACATCAACACGGATAATTTCAAATTCCTTTCTGCATTTGCAAAGAAAACTACACCGTTATTAGAGATAGTAGAGTTATTGCTCCGACAGCCATAGCCACGCTTGATGCCTGGTAACAATTAGGTTGAACACGGAGTTGTGTCGGTGGCCATATATTGTTGACTATTCATTATTACGTACTGTGGATTTAGCAACACCCCCCAGTCCAACCGTTGCCACCTTTGCGCATGGCATCATCCATTCCCAGTGTGACAGTTCTAGAGACTCCTGTGTTCGCTCCTCCGGAGGCCCCGAATCCTTTCACGCCGCTCCGCCGATCATTGAGGTCGTATTTTCCCGTTTCAATGTTACGATATATTCTCTCAGCAACCTCCAGGAATGCTCGTTCAACACCCTCTCCCGATTTGGCGCTCGTTTCAACATAGCGAACCACATTATTCAGGCGACACCACTCTTCGGCTTCCTCCTGGGTGACCTGTCTTTGACTTGATCCAGAACTGGCCCCCGTCAGATCAGTCTTATTACCGACTAAAATGACAACGATGCCATCTTCTGCAATATGCCGTAGATCTTGTAACCACTGGGTACAGGATACAAAGGTCGAGTGCCTGGATATATCAAAGACTAGGAGAGCGCCAGATGCGCCCCGGAAGTAAGAGCGGGTGATAGACTTGTATGTCTCTTGTCCAGCGGTATCCCACAAGGAGAGTTTCATGCGTTTCTGATTGGGGGAATCTTGTGGTTTTCGTGGAGGGGTAGGAAGCCCGGAGGTGATAGATGACTCTAGAAATATATCACCTGACAATCCGGGGGCAGGCTTATCAAGGTCTAGCTCCAGTGAAGCTGGAGGACCAACTGGCACAATTCGCGACCCGAACTCGACTCCAATAGTCACATCATGAGATGGGGAAAAGCGGCCTTCACAAAGTCGGACGGTGAGCTATTGTTTGGTTAGCGTGAGGCACAAGGCCAAAGACCGACAACACTTACGCTGGACTTGCCAGTGCCAGAGTCACCAATGCAGACAAGCTTAGCAATGTAGTCCCATGGCTGTGACATGGAGAGAGTATGGGGAAATAAAGTCCAGAATCAGAGATGGGAAAGAAAGCGGAGGTTAGTTTACCTATAATGTGCAGGTACACTTGGAGACCTCATGGTTATCAGCTGAGTCATCTATCAAGCCCGACGTGCCCATATGACGCTTTCAATCAGCTGCGTGACCTTGTAGCCCTTCGCTTTATCCTTTAACTCCCCTAGATTTGACATAATTCCAAAAAAAACTCTCAAAATCTTTCCTCTCCCCTCCCTTTGCTCTCTAATCTTCGGCCGTACTTGATTTCCTCAGTATACTCCATTCAGTGACTTATCACTAGTCCTATCCCACTCACAGTACTTCCTTTGATGCGATAACAGGCCATGTTCTCTGAATGTAGGAACTGGAAGATCCTGAGGATTAGATGGCGACATAGCTAACATTTAACCCTAGATGCCTCACGATTCCTTGCTCAGTCACAGTCACGAGTAACCTCTCGGCCAGATGATCTTCAAAGAACGGGCCGGAGCCGCCCTGGTCAACACCAAGGGAGCCTTCGGCACCCCTCATCACGCTCCTTCTTACGACCTAGCAATCCTTATGGACCGGGGGAATCCCAAACATCTCAATTTCCTTTTGCCCCCCGCAGCTCGGTTCAACAAGCTCCCCTGTTCTTCAGTGCCACTGATGAATTCCGAGAGGAAGATGACGAAACAGAACGTGAGCGAGAAATCGCTGATTTCTATGCACTCCAACGGTCAAGACGGAATTTTGGCGACAGCAACTTGAAGGAATCTTCCGAACTTGACGATTCTGAATGTTCAGGGTTCGAAGAGGAAAGTTCACCATGCGACGATCGTCCTGGTAAAGGCATCAAGAGCTCATGGCGAGGAGAAGAGAGTGTTTTGCGTGCTCGTCTTTTTCCTATCGAGTCTATGGCAGAAGCCCCAGAGCAAGAACCGGCTTCTCGATCCAGCCCAAGCAATAGCAAAGTTCGAGGTCATCTAGTAGATATCGGTCTGGATGATTCATTACGGCCTGATGTTGACGATGATCAGGCGTTATCTAGTCCCGGTGCCCACGATCCACCTGTTCAACGATTCCGTGAACGAGAAGTACTGAAGGAGCCTTCTGGCCCTAGCCAGCATGGATATGCTGTAGGGCAGGCTGATCTTTTGTCGCAAGATGCGCCACGGCCGCCCAGCTCGGCAAGCTCATTCCCAACCTCGGTATCACCACTAGCCTCAGAAAACACAGTGCAAGATGCCTTCTGGGGCCAGTTGTTTTTGATATCTCTCACTGGATTGTTTGCTTCTGCATTTCTTGTGTATCTTCATACATCTACACCCTCTGGAGACAAATCAAGATGGGGCGACACAATCTACATGACTGTTCATGGATCTTTCTTCCTCCTTGGGATATATACTATTGTATCGATTCTTGTGTCCCTTATTTGGTTGGCCTTACTACGATTCTACGTGCGACTTCTGGTCCATGTGATTCTAGTCGCTGTTCCCACGATCCTATGTTCATTCTCCTTATATCCTTTTATCTCAAGTTTCAATGGACCATGGCATGGGATGAGTATCCAAGACAAGGCGATGAGATGGAGCTCTGCTATCCCGTTTCTCATAGCTACCATGTGGATCTACAATGTTGTGCGTGGCCGTCAGTCTATAGGAAAGGCCATAGGCATTCTTGAATTTGCCTGTCGAATCTTGGCTGCCAATCCCGAGCTGCTTGCTCTTGGTCTGGGTGCCTTGGTCTGCGTTGTTTCCTGGACGTGGATCTGGATGCTGATGTTCACTCGCGTCTTCTTGGGCGGTCATTTTGTGAGCTCAAAATCTTTCATCATTGATGTGGGTAGCTGGTGGCTGGGCATCTATTTTGTCGTTGTTTATCTGTGGTCGATTGGCATAATCGCAGGCATCCAGCGTGCTGTCACCGCTGCAACAGTGAGCCAGTGGTATTTCCACCGTTTGGCAACACCCGCACCCACCTCAAGGCAAATTGTTCAGGCAGCTGTCGTTCACGCCGCCACAACTCTCTTCGGCACGATCTCTTTGTCTAGACTACTGGGGCTACTGGTTCGACTTCCTCTGCTCTTGTTACCAGGTCGCATCTCCTCGTTGCTCAGTCTGTTCGCCTATTCACTCATCCCCACCCCAATTACTTTTTTGACCAATCCTCTTTCTCTCACCTATGCAGCGATTCATTCGCAGCCTCTTGCCGCTTCCTCCCGGGGGTTGAGTCAAATGACTACCCTTGCCCCATCAGCGGCCTCAATGTCTTTATACCCCCGTTCATATTCTCAGTTCCCGGGGAACTTGGGGTCACTACTCTCATACCGGCTGTCCAAGTTGATCCTTTACGCTGCGCGTTTCATGATGTCCTTAGCCTTAGGGTTCGGTGGTTGGGTGACCACAGCTCGGAGCCTGACAACCCCTACGTCTGGTAGCACCATTCGAGGCAGTCTTTATGCCTACGTCGTCGGTCTTATTGCTGGAACAATTGGCTGGACCACGTTGGGTGCAATGGAAGGTGTGATCGCAGATATTGTAGATGCAGCGGTGATTTGCTGGGCAAGCGAAGTCGGTATCTCCGGCAGAGAGGCCCGGTATTGCCGTGAGGCTGGTTGGCTCTTTGGTGATTCGCAACCTCGATTCGGACATGAACATCAAGAGGTCTAGGTCGGCAGGTGGGGGGGGGGGGTTCTTTTTTGCCTCTCTTTCTTCATCTTCAAGTCCCTAACTCATGTACCATTTCGTTGTACAATTGAGCGGGCTATTGTCTTTTCATGCCCTTAAGCGAAATTCTTTGATTTTCAAGCAGATTCTTTTTTGGAAGACTTGATAAGCAAATAAATTCTGCATTTACATCTCGGTTGCAAGTGATGGCAAACAACTATTTGATATCAAGTGTATTCTTTTGCATCCCCCATGGTATATTCGAATTGCAAATAGCTACATGAAAATCCAGGGCTCGTGGTATCATGAGAAAATATAAAGGGAAAGGCAATAACCTGTGCCCCCGGGGGGGGGCTCCCCTGAGACGCTATATGAAGCATATTCCGAGCGACGGGAGAGAAAAAAAGCAGACAAATGTGACAGATAGATTAGAGACCAAGACGTCCATTCCACTCCACTCGTTCCTTCGAGCACCATTCTTTCAGCAGGAACCAGCCAAACCGAACCACTTCGATGGGCGGTGTAGTACCTCCAAGTGGTAGGAAATAACTTCCAGCATATTCACCAGCCTTGAGAGATGATCGGCCTCGTTCCGAGTAATTTCGAGATCGCTGGGACCAGATAGTGGGGAACTCACGGCCAAGGATATCTTCAGAGAGACCCCGTGTGCCCTCTATCCATAGCCTCTGGGACTCTTTGTAGCACTCAGGAAGACGAACCTTCAGCTCTGAAAATTCCTTTTTGCTTTTCCTGTTCTCATCCGACAGGGCTGCGTTTCCATCACTCCCAGGGGTGGGAACCGGGGTGTGCTCTCCAGGAATTGGGCTTATCGCGAGACGTTCAAGATCGAGAGTATGAATGGCCGTGAAGGACACTGCCCCAAGGAGCAAGCAGAGACTGTTTAAGGCCGGATATGGTACACTGTTCTTCCTGACCACACGCCAGTATGGCACGATGGACAGCCATGTTGAGGAATCCCCGACCTGGCGCGATGAAGCCTTGGCCTGGTCGTTCGCTACAAACGCCATAATAAAGGACAACAACGCTTCTATTGCAGTCACAACAGCTAGCTTTTCGTCAGTGACCGAGATCCCAGTTTTAGAGGTGTGCCGCTCTGCGGCATGTTTCAATTCACGACCGATGCTCGCAAACTTTTGCCACTCATCCCACCACACTTGCCGCTCATTGCGCGTGCGTCCATCTACCTGTGTCGGAGAAGCCTTCATAGTTGACCCGGGATCAACGGAATGACGCTTGTTGGCGGGATTAGAAGGAGCTTTGCTATCAGTCTCTCCGGGCTCGTTTCGACGAGAGGTAAAAGGTTTTTGGTCTTTCAGGTCTTTTACAGGCGTGATCGAAGCTGCTTTGGTTTTGTCACTGGTGGTTGAATGAGAGGTCAGGTGTGTCTGAGCAACCGGCGTTCGAGGCTTTTCGGGGTAGCTTTTTGGCTCTTTTGAGCGACCATATTGAGGGCCAATAGCTTCACCCGTCTCATTTTTCCTGCCTTTCGGATCCCCAGATGTGTACCCACGAAACAATCCAGTATCTCCCCCTTTCTTCCTGGAATGGAAGACATCATCACGATCGGTATCCTGACTGACCGGTGAATCCGACAGATGCGCTTTCTTTTTACCAGAAAATTTAAGCAAGGCTTCGACACGTTTTCGGTTCGCTCTTCCATACCGCAGTTTGGTAAGAAGCTGCGTCTTTTGTGTGTCGACACGGGCGTGGTCTCTTGTATATTCTTGGGTATTGGATTCCTTGGCAGGCAATCCCTTTCCTGCCCGACTATTGCGAGATGGTGGACGGTCCTCAAGGCGAGCCAACTCCTTTTCGATATCTGGGGGGAGGGTAGGAGACAATAAGCGCGGAAGTCTGGGACCACCCGATGTCGGTGGAAGAGTAGGCGAGAGAAGTGCGGGCAACTTGGGGGAATACGATTTGACAGGGCTGGGCTCTCGGCGTGTGTCTTTCTCGGGACACAGTCGCAGTTTCTTTGTAGGATGTGCTTCAGACTTCTTAGTCACTGAGGGGTGAGGAAATTCAAGTTCCGACCCAGATGGCCGTTTCTGGCCCGCTCTTTCGGGGGAGAGACGCGCATGGGACTTCGGTGGCATTCGAGACATTTTAGTCTTATCGGAAATATTGAGAGGCTCCGAAGATGTCATCTGTCGTCTTTCCTCGGACTTGGCGGAGTTTGATGCGCCTCGGCTACCCGCTTCGAGGCCAACGGGGGATGCGACTGCGGCACTGGTCTTCTGGGTCTTGTAGTCCTTGAGACTAATTTTCTTTTTGGACACAGTTTCTCTTGAACTTTCTACAGTACTTGGGGCTGTTGATCGATCGGTCATCATGCGCCCCGTTTCGTCTGACCAGTCCCCGACAGCTAGAAGCAATGAGTCTGTGTCGTGGTGTGTCAGGAAGGTCATATATTGTAGTTGCTGCTCCTCCAAGCTGAAGGGTCTGTCATGCCCTACAGCCCAATTGTTGGCGGACCGGGTTCCCAGGTTAAAGGGCGTTTTGGTCGGAAATGTGAGTAAATATGGAACGGGGGGGAGGACGTCGTCGGAGAGCCGCTGCAATCGTTGGTCAAGCACTTCACGGTCCGACGTGGGGGAAGTCGCAGCTCGGGGGGTTGTAATGGGTTGAAAATTGCGTTTCTCGTTCACCGACATCGCAGTGCGCAGGGTTTCGCGATTTATTTTTCCACAAGAGATGCTGGTATCATGCGGGCCCAAAGCACAATTCGGGCCAAATATCTATCAGTGAGGTCTATTTCTCGAGTCGGTATGACGAGTTGCCTGGTGATAGTCAAAGCATTGAGTCAAGTGAAGGATAGTGGATGTACAAGATCCGGCCTTGTTCAGGTGCCAAATAATCAGGGCATCCTATCACTATCGCGCGTGGGGGGTGTTCCCATAACCCTGGGATTTTGAAGTCGCGTAATTAGGAGGGGAGAAATAAACACAGTCAATGTAACAAATAAAAAGTGGGATGTGTCACAATGAGAGGGTGACCTCTTTCCATGAAGGAGCGAGAGATGGGAAATGTCCCCGGATAGAATGAAAGAGACAGATGAATTGGAGAAGGTTACGTTAGGTCCGTTACGGTGCCTGTTGCTTATCGGCTTATCGTTACCGTATGATACATACGGTACAGGGTACATGGGTACATGCATTGTTTGATGAACGTTTGAAAATATCGAATGGTCCAAATACCTCTATGCGTATATGTGTCTATGTTCAATGTATGTACCTTGTCATCTTGAAAAGATGTAGGGATTTGAATTGATCTATGAAAGTTCTTATGCCAGGCCTGTTCTTGAAGTCAACATTCAGGAACGATCATCCTCTGCAAACTTCTCACGCCAGAATGCACGGTAATGTTTCTGTTCGCCTATCTTAGAGATCTCGTCAATTTCTTGAGGTGTCAGTTGGAATGTAAATGTGCGCAAATAGCTGCTTAGGCGGGCTTCTTTGCCACTAGTAGTGATAGATATACAACCACGGTCAATGATCCAGCGTAGCAGAATCTCGGACTGACTGACTGCATATTTGGTGGCCAAAGAAGAGAGTAGGGGGTCCAATGGCCCGCCCCGAGCCCGGGTCGCAGGGGTGAGGCCTCCGTAACTAACAGTCTTGATACCTTTACTCTCTTGGAAGGGAACAAGATTGCCATGTTGAAGGTATGGATGGAACTCAATCTGATTCACAGATGGCACCACTTTAGCGGTTTCGAGAATGGTCTCCAATTCGCTTTGTAAGAAATTGGACACACCAATAGACCGTGCTTTCCCAGCTGCCTTTACTTGCTCCATGGCAGCCCAGGCAGCTTGAAGCTCTTCCTTGGACTTTGCAAAGTACGGAGCATGGATCAAGTACCTGCTCAGATTCTTAGAAGCGGTTCCCGATCGATCCAATTAGTCTCACCACGTTGGAGTTCACTTACAGATCCACATAGTCAAGCTGGAGCTTTTTGAGACTGGTTTCAATGGCCTGAGGAATATCGGTGATGTTGAGGAGGACCTTAGTCGTCACGATGAGTTTCTCTCGAGATACTCCGCTTTCTGTGATTGCCTGTCCCAGTTCCTCCTCGGTCTGATAGACTTCAGCTCCATCGAGATGGTGGTATCCTAGCTTCGTTGCAGTCTTGATTGATTTGACCAGTTCGTGGTTGATACCGGTGTCGGGCTTCTTAAACCACGCGGTGCCCGTGCCATATCCAACCTATGTTTGTTAGAGTAGGTTGCCCATATTATGTGGGGTAATGTCGGGTTTACTCACGACAGGGACCGAGGTACCGTCATTGAGGTCCAATGTAGGAATGGGCGAATTAGTGTTTGCCATGATTAGAAGTTGTTCAAAGGGGGCAAAATGTAGGATGATGAGAAGATGTTGTAAGTGGATGCTTTGACTAGGTTATGGTACCTCAAGGCGCTGCCCGTCCGGGCCTAGACAATGCTTAATAATGTCAAATTATGTCATTTCGAACTCCCAGGAGCTCCTCGCCATACTTCCGGAGGTCAGACCTCCTACTAGCTTCACTTGGATCCTTATCCTTGAGCAATTCCTTGGTCTCTCTCTATGAACTCCTGCATGCTCGTATGTTCAAGGAATTGGTACATGTTTCCACGCACCAACTTTCGGCCACCGTCAGTTCTGAATCGTTCAAACAAGATGGTATCACACATTTCGACCGTCGGGGTCTCCCTGGCTGAACTACCGAAATCAAATGTTTTTACTTCTAAATTGCCCTTTGATCCGGCTTTTGATACACCGGAATCCTCGCACATGGCCCCAAGGGAAACCTTGGGGCCTCGCATGGTCAAAGGAGCTTTGTTCACATACATTCGCCCAGAGCGTACCGATGAGCCAGAACTACTGGGAGTCAGTTCGCAAGCGATGAAAGACTTAGGATTGAAACCAGGCGAGGAAAAAACATCACGATTCAAGGCACTAGTCGCCGGGAATGAGATTTGGTGGAACAAGGAACACGGTGGAATCTACCCATGGGCACAGTGTTATGGAGGTCGGTATCCACACTGTCATGCATGTGAAATAAAAAGAGACTAACATGTGCAGGGTGGCAATTGTAAGCTACAGGAGGAGCTCGAGATGCAACGTTAACGGCTGACAACATGCAGCGGTTCATGGGCCGGACAACTTGGAGACGGTGTAAGTTAACAAGTTAACCCGCAGACGAGTCCTCGACTCACTAAAGATACTAATGACCGACAAATTAGCGTGCAATCAGTCTATTTGAATGCACCAACCCGCAGACAAATATGCGGTATGAGCTGCAACTGAAAGGAGCAGGCAAAACACCCTATTCGCGATTCGCAGACGGCAAAGCTGTCCTCCGGTCAAGTATTCGTGAATACGTGGTCTCAGAAGGTAAGAAACCTTGCATGAAATCCGAGAACAGACCACTGAAACATTGACAGCTCTCTTCGCTCTCGGTATACCAACTACTCGGGCACTCTCACTCACCTTGGTACCCAATGCCAAGGTATTGCGAGAACGTATTGAACCAGGAGCAATTGTTGCTCGATTTGCCGAGAGTTGGTTAAGAATCGGCACATTTGATCTTCTTCGCGTCCGTGGAGATCGTGAGCTGATAAGGAAGCTTGCGACATATGTTGCAGAGGACGTTTTTAGCGGTTGGGAATCCCTTCCTGCCATTGTCTCGCTGCGGGACCAGCAGTCTTCCACCCAAATCGATAATTCCCAGAGGGGTATAACTGGCGACCAAGTACAAGAACACCAGGATGTACAAGAAAATCGATTTGCTAGACTGTATCGAGAAATCGCTCGCCGCAATGCTAAGACAGTGGCCGCGTGGCAGGCCTACGGCTTCATGAATGGTGTACTGAACACCGACAATACATCAATTTACGGCTTGTCGCTGGACTATGGCCCGTTTGCGTTTATGGACAACTTTGACCCCCACTACACCCCGAACCATGATGACCATATGCTGCGATACGCCTATCGTAACCAACCCAGCATTATCTGGTGGAATCTGGTCCGACTTGGGGAGTCACTAGGTGAGTTGATTGGTGCTGGAAACCGGGTTGATGATGAAAGCTTTGTCAACGATGGGGTAACGAATGAGTTTGAACCGGAACTCATCAAACGCGCGGAGAAAATTATTGAGCATGTGGGCGAGGATTTCAAAGCAGTATTTCTCAATGAATACAAGCGCTTAATGGGCCAGAGGCTAGGACTCAAAACACAAACTGAGTCGGACTTTCAAAATCTTTTTTCGGAGTTACTAGACACACTTGAAGCACTCGAACTTGACTTCAACCACTTCTTCCGCCGGCTTTCGGGGCTGCCGCTGTCTAGTTTGGAGACTGAAGACAGCCGAAGGGAAGCAGCCTCAGTCTTCTTCCACGCCGAAGGTTTCGGTGGGATTGGATATACCGAGGCCACGGCTAGAGATCGCATTGCGCAGTGGCTGGATAGCTGGCGGCTTCGCATCCTAGAGGACTGGGGCCCAGCAAACGACGATGAAAGACGAAAGGCCATGAAATCCGTCAACCCCAATGTAAGTGCCTGTCGAGATTTTCTTTTTCAAGTCCAGTGCAGGCTGACTAACCCAATGATAGTTTGTGCCTCGAGGGTGGATTCTCGACGAGGTCATCGACCGTGTGGAGCGCAAAGGCGACCGAGATATTCTAGGCCGGATTATGCAGATGTCTTTGAACCCGTTCAAAGATGAATGGGATCTTCACAAAGAAGAAGAGGAGCGTTTCTGTGGGGATGTCCCCAAGTTCAAGAGGGCTATGATGTGCAGTTGTAGCTCGTAAACAAGCTACGAGCGCCACGTGGATCTGCAAATTTATAGTGAATATCATCATTTTTGAAAGATTCAGAGCCGCTTTTAAGCTATATATCAAATGCCGTCGACTCCCCACGAGATAGGCTCGGATAATTACAACGTGCAAATACAAATACGAGTATTTGCTAGGCTCCCTACTTCACATTTTAGATGCGGTATCATAAAATCCGAGAATTACCAAACAACCTAGGTAGGAGTTATCAAAATTTAGATCGTCAACCTTTTCAGGTGTTGATCTCTAATCATACATTTTCAAGGGGAAAAAAAAGGGAAATTCGTCTCGTGCATGCATGAAAAATGTTGTCCAATCCCATGGAAACTGTAGAAAGATGTTGACCAAAAGAGCAATGCAAGCAATGGACACCTTAGTTAGGGCAAGCGGACTGAACGTGGCCGGGCTGCTTGCACTTGTAGCACATGCGCTCACCCTTGGCCTCAGTAGGGCAGTCGCGAGAGACGTGGCCGACTTCGCCACCTAATCATGAGTTAGTAGCAGATTCCAGAGAAGGTGAGAAGCCCAAGATAACTAACAGTTGTAGCACTTCTGACCCTGAGTGCAGTCACGAGCCATGTGGCCGAAGCCACCACAGGAGTAGCAGGTCTGTTGGCGACCACCTGCACCACCGGGGCCACCGAAACCACCACCGTAGCCGCCCGTGCTGTAACCACCGCCGTAGTTCCCACCCTGAGAGCAGTTGCGCGCAATGTGGCCGACCTGTCCGCACTTGTAGCACTCCTGGGAACCACCACCACTGTAGTTGCCATCACCACCCTGAGGGCATTCGCGAGAAAGGTGTCCGGTCTGGCCGCAACGATAGCATGACTTCTCCTTGGCGGGTTCCTGACATTCACGGCCTTTTTTTTGGAAAGATTAGCCAAGCACAAGTAGATTCTATGAATGTTTCACTTCAAACTTACTCAAGTGACCTTGGCCTGTAATCGTAAATTGACTTGATTAGCAATGTTCTGGTAACCAATCCGGATGTCTAAAGGAGGCTTTTGAGCCGAGCATACCGTTGCAGTTGTAGCTATTGAAGGATTGGATTAGCTTTCGAATTGACAGACGAAAAAGATGAAGGGAAATTACCAGGTAGGGTTTCCCTTCTTGGGGCAGTCCTTGGCCTATGGAAAGAGTAAATAAGCTTCAGGTCCCTTTTTTGTTAAATTTCAGAGTCGTGAACAGGTTGTCATTACCTGATGAGAAGCCTCGCCGCCTATGAAAGAAGAGTATATTAGTTTTATTTTGATAGAAATAACAGCAAATCAGGTTTCAAGTTGCGCAATAGAAACGTTGTAAAGGAGTCCAGATCTAGATTGCCGCACAAGCTCGTGAATATGACGTATTCACAGGGATTTGGATTGACACCAGTTTGCAGAGAGAAAAAAGTAACATACAGTTGAAGCAGCCACCGCGTCCGGCAGGAGGGAAGTTCATATTTGAATAGGAGGGGGGAGGATTTTTTTTTCAAGAAAGTAATCAAGTGAAGGAGTTGAAGAGTCTGCAAAAAAAAAATATACAGTGCGGGGAGAAATCTTCCCGCAAAGCTGACCGCCCTGAAGAGAAGATTTCTTGGATTTGGACTGGATTCTTCGGTCTCTTGTCATTCTGGATTCTTTGTTTCTTGTGTTTCTCTCTGCTTCCTCCCACTCAGTGTATATAATAGAACCTCATCACGGATGAAAATGCCAGTCCCCTTTCATCCATCTTGTGAAAAGTAAAAGTAGTGATTCTACTGTCTCCAAAGGTGTTGTGGATGGTACCTCAGATCGAAGAATGCAAAACATGGAGACGGAAATCAAGAATCAAAATTGAGGGCCCAGCCTTTTTTATAGGGAACAAGTGTCTTGCCAGGGTCCCCAGTCCAGGTTGAGTACCTTGTGCTACCGAATGCTACACCTCAGGCTTGGGTGCTAGTGCAAAGTTCAAAGTTAGGGAATAGTCCTATCGTCTTTTCTCTGTTATTGGCATACCTTGACACAGATAGATGTAGATATATACTTGTATTAGGTGAAGTCGTAACACTCAAGTAGCTGTGTTCCAGTCTTTTCTCGAAGGAGAAGTACCCGTTCTTCATCAAATCCGATGGGCAAGGTCAATTCTTGGGATTCCACATTTGCATGGCCCAAATTGTGGGAAATCATTCCTGGTCCTGGCTCTGGCTTCCCATCCTTTTTTCCAGCGTTGATCTGAACACCATTGTCCTCGAAGAATTTGCGGCTACCCAGGGAGGTTATCGCCATCTCCAACTCCCATATTCGAATCTCATCCCCTCGAGAGCTTACAGAGACAGCTTTCCCGCGGTTGGTCACCTGAACAGCAGATACGGAAGAGGTATGGCCCCATAGGCGTCGGCCGCCTTGGACATATACCTTCTCCGATGTGGATACCACAAGATACAAAGTCAACGTGTTGTCGGCATGAGAGGTCAGTAGATACGGATGGGAATAGGACATGGAAGTTGGCGGCTGTTGGCGTCTGATAGACGGCGCCCCAGGGTCGATGCGAGGTGGATTGTTGACCGACTCGGCTGCAGAGCGTCGCCTTTTTCTGGATTGAAGTGGCCTCAATCCATATTGAGAATCCACTGTAGTAGCCAGTCGGGAATCTAGTTGTTGCCCATCTTTGCCTAGATGTAATTCTTGAATCCCCAGGGACCACCCACAGCCAATGTGGAAGAAACTATACACAATGGTAGCGACAATCTCAAAGGACGAGACTCGGAGAGATAGTGTCATTGGCGCAGCAATGTTATCTGCCTTGAGGGAAGCAATCTGGCGGGGCTCCGAGGCCTCGGCGGTTTCCCCTGCTCCATGGCTGCCAGGTCGCAGATTGTACAAGGTCAAATCTTTGTGATGGGATACTATCATTAGATACGGCGATGAGAGGGCCATTGTTGTTATAGCAGCATCACTGCAGCCGACATGAGAGGACTGCAAGTCTAGCTGGGAGGTTTGAAGATTTAGGATGAAGAGGCTGAAGTGACCATTTTCCAGTCCGACGGAGATCTCGATCTGATCTTGGATCTGGCTTACTGCCAAGGCGGTTGGGGTCATAAGAGATGGTATTGATGGAGCTGATAAAGGGAATCTTGCAAGACAGCATGCTGAATCTCTTGTGGTCCAAGCCCGGAGTCCGTGCGCTGAATCTGCTGTGAAGACAATCCCAGCACAAAATCTGACCAGCGTAGGAGAGCATGGTGGCTGAGGAAACTCTACCTCAGTAACCCGGCATAGCCCTTTGGACCAATTATGCCGGAGCCGATACTGCCGTTTCCAATTGCCCTCCTGTGCCAAGTGCCCATGATCCAACCAGGTTGCGACCTTGGGCGAATAATCCGTCTTGGCTGGAAAGGTTGTGAGTCTAGTATTTGCGAGGCGGCGTGCACGGGGTCGCACCCATTCCGAGTAATATTGCCATTTCCATATCTCAGAGTCCCCACCAAGGGCATGGAAGCGATGTGATAACCTGGCCGAGGTAGCAAGTCAGCGAAACCTCCAAGAAGAACCGGCAAAAACGAGAGTATCAATTTACCTTTGACACACGTTAAGGGACGATACTGGTAAAAATGAAAGGATATGAAGCAGCAACTCATTGCTCAGACGAGACAGGCGATCAACAGGCCCAACATCGTTCCGAGTGCGGGTCCGCTTTTGCGGTAGGTCAGAATCCCAGCGGTCTCTGCACCGTTTGGACATCCTGTCTCGGGCTAAAATGAAATTTCAAGAGGACTAGGAATACGAACTAGAGAAATCATTCCGCATACTTCGAAGAACACATTGGTCGAAAGTGGAGGGACATTTGTAGGTGGAGTCGGTGCCGAGCCACCTGAATCTTATCAGCAGGTGATAAGCTCACGTGTGTCCATGTGGCCTCGACGCGGCGTCGTCGCGTTTTAAATCGCCTTGCCTGACAGAACATCTACAACAAGTTTTATTCCCCCTCCTTCTTTCTCATAATCTGTGCCATCTCCCTTGATGGTACAATAGAAACACCACAATGGAAGTTGTCCAGGAGCTCCACGCTGCTGTGGCAAATGCCTGTGAGGCCTCCTTCGACAATGCCTATAAACACATGAAATACTATATTGATGCACGTGCCAAAGAGGCAGAAATTAAAGAATCCATGGCCAGCCAAACCCAGCGACGATTAGAGACCAGAATCCGAGAGCTTGAGCATGATATCACGGTACTCCGGAGTGAGCTGCAACACTATGAAGTTGATACACGGGATCTTGAACTTCCCGGGGAATATGCCAATCTAGAGATCGAATTTGACCCGAAGAACCTGTGGGATGATGACCTGGATGATGATGATTATCATCATCATCAAACCATTTGGAAGTCTCGGAAAAAAGTTGAGGCCAAATACACCGCGCTTTATACAAATTTACAGACATTCATCCAAACTTGGAGTGGTCTCAAATCCCGAGTTTTGCAGCATAAAAAGAAGCTACAGCGATGGGACCAGCAACTAAAGCGTGGAGAATTCTCGCTTGCTCTCAATGGTCAACCCGTCACATTTCGCAGGGTGGAAAGTCCCAACCTTGAGAATGTCGACGAAGAACACCCGGAGGCCCGAGGCTTGTCGAAGAAACGCTCAAGAGAGGATTGTACAGACCTTCCTGCCAAGGCCGTCAGGTTGTCACAACAAAAGTCCCATGCAGATGATTTCCAAAAAGTAATTCACGGCTCAACATCAGGGTCGGCCTCCACCCAGTCTAGCCCTCCTAGATCCAATCTGGAACTCTCCGGATCTTCTGGTGCAATTTGTCTACTATCCAGTGTCCGCTGGCAGCAGACTCGGCAGAGGCTTTCCCCAAAACTTCCTGACAGGCATCTTGTGCATACCCAGTCGGAGGTCATGAGCTCAGGGCGCCCTGCAGTTGTCAAAAATGAGATGTTGTCCTCGAGTCCAACCTGGATCGGTTTATTGCACAACAGTGAACAGCAAATTGTAAGCACACAAGATCTTGATGAGATAGGAGACACGATACGCACACCAATCAAACGGAAAGCCTACCAGGATGTCAATATTGCAGACACTTGGAATTCCGAGAAAAGTACAAATAACGCAAATCACTCAATGCGAATTCCGCTAGGCCAGCAAGTATTTCAGCAGTCATCTATGCTCCAACCAGCTAACGGCAACATACGCAGGGCCACATTCTCTGCACAGGAGTTTTCCACGAAACGCCTTCAAGATCTGGAGCGACGCGCAATACCTGCTCTGGCAGAAGACGGTGATGATGCGATATCTATATGGACATCTTCTAAGATTGGTCCCGGTGTCAATCGCGGACCTTCAGAAGTAAAGACAAATGGTGGCTCTGCACAAAGACGTCTTAAAAATCTTCTAGAAAGATCGGCACCACCACAATCACCACTTCATTTGTCGAGCGAAGCCTCCGACCCAGACTCAACAAGAGCGACCTTTACACCGCAAAGTGATCAAACAATACCCAAGGCGTCAAGTCAAATGGCCCCAGATGTAGACCCCGATGATGAACCATTCAGGGCAAGACCTCTTCGTCGTCTTGGGTTGGGGCATTTTAAAATCAATCCGGCTAGAAATCAAGGGCTTGATTACGCATATGATACAGTTGTCCGGAAAAAGAATGACCGCAAATGCATATCAGGTTGTACTCGCCCAGGATGTTGTGGGGATCGGTTCCGGGCCATGGCACGCCTTGGGGGTCTCCCCGGTAAATCTGGAGCAGAGCAGGAGGAAGAAGACCAGGCAATTCTACAAGAGTTTATGGGAGAAGATACACAATTGCTTCGAACCATGAGTGGTAGAGAGCGTGAAAATCTCCTGGTGGAAGCGAGAGCCAGGGCCCTGGCCAACCAATATGGACGACATCGGCATACTCATCAGCGGGCTCAATCCCCCCCTGGCTTCTGGCGGACTGATATGCCAGACACACAAGAGGAGGAGGAAGACCTTGAAGCTGCCAAGAGATTGGAGCGTGAGAAAGTGGAAGAGCGATATCGAGAGGCTATGCGCCCTGGGGGGTTATGGACATGGGCGGATGAATAAGACAAACATGTTTCTACCTAGGTATGACTTTGACTTGAAAAAATCAAGATGTCTCAACCCAATAGTTCAATTGCAATGCATAGTTAGATCTAAGTGTATAGGTATGCAAATATGAAAAGACCAAAAGCATCAACCTCGGCCCAAGGCATCTTGGCACGACGCGGGACCACGTGCTGCCCCCCTGCAACCTCCCGAGAGTCACCCTCTCCGAACCTCATCTCCCCCGTCACGGCCGTCTCGACATGCTTGAAGCTTAAAGATGGAATCCGTTCGCAATATTCGGAATCCAATACCCCCGGTGCTTTTGCAACCATACAAATGGCTTTCTATCTATGAAGACTTCGTGACCAAGAATGCAAACTCCGTTGGTCAAGTCGAGTCAGCGCTGAGATCTTTGACTTATATTATCCCGGGTGAGTTCTCATGCGGTTTTACCATGCAGCTGTTGAAGAAACTAACAAGCTTCTTCTACCAGGACGATACCGAGAATCAGAGATACCTTCAGAATGTGGTTAGTGTAACATTGTACTTGCCTTGGAGCGCGCCTGTTGATACCCCAGCAGTACACTCCGGTGTCCAGTTATTATCGTTATACCATGACTCTCTTGTTTCGAGAGTTATTGATCGGCTCCCATCGACTGTCCCCCGGCCGCCGCCCACTCCCCACTCTCGATATACTAAATACTGGACCTCTAGCTCCTCGCTGTATCGCAAGGTGGCGCTTGCGCTACAAATGCTCCAGTATACTGAGCTTCTCTGGGAGATGGTGGCGCGGCGACGCGGCCAGAAAACCCGTTGGCGCGTGGTCATATTCATTGAATTCGCAAAGGCAGTTTGCCGCTTGCTTCTTCTGCGATTGACCAACTCCAGACCACTCGTCAGTCCTCCACTTCCAGAACGGGAGGTAGATCCAAGGACGACAGAAGAAGAGACACCACAGATTGACTGGAATGGAATGGACACTCCGGTGAGCGAGCGGTCTTCAGACTTGAGTTGGAAGATGCCTCGCACGGGACTTTCCCTTCCATCTCTCCCCGACGTAAATGATGTGTCGAACTATCTCATCTCCAAAGTTCTTACGGCAGATGACATAAAACCCCCGAAGGCACTCCTCCACCGGGCGATGGGACAAGGACAACTGGCTGAAGTGCTGTACATTCTTCGGCCTGTTATCTACGCAATGGCAATGCAAAAGTGGAGTGGTGATAGACGAAGCTGGCGGCCATGGCTCATTGGATTTGGAATGGAGTTTGGCTGCCGTCAGCTCGCAAAGCAGGACTTCCGTGAACGGGTCGCTGGCGGTCTTCGGGGACTTACAGGGCTTGAGCGAGAGGAATTGAAGAAGCGTGGATGGTCAATGGGCTGGTGGATGATGAGAGGCGCATTCTATGAGAACATCACAAAGTACGAAACCGACTCTGTTCTCTCTCTGGATTCCCATTTGAATACTGACATTGTGAAACAGGTCGGGGCTACACAGTTTGACTGGAAAGATGAAAGGCAAGCCATTGTTGGATTTGGTGGGCAGTGTTGTGGAGGACTATGAATACCTTTGGAACAACTTCTATTTCTCGACCGCCACACTGTGACTTTTCCACCGATGAGCCCATCTCTTTTTTACTCATGATACCCATTATTCAACTGTACGAGTCTTTTCATGCTCTTCCATCTTTCTTTTGTTCTCACTCTTGCTGTGCTTCTTCAAGCAGGCGCAAGGGGTATCATTAATATTTTGTTAAGTATCATGTCTAATCACATTACACAGAGCGTTCGCATTCAGAGAACTCCAGTGTGTCTGTAGCCATACCAATCCCGTAATCCAACCTTGCCTGTGCTTTTCCCGGGAGCTGATGATAGTAAGAACTCATCCAGCCGAGGTGCCCCTTCCTCCTCGTCGGGCCAGTCGACTCGCGCTCCTCCTTTCATTTCAAGCATCTCCTTCGCAGTACCCCAGCTGAATCGACATTCACTGCCCCATCCAAACACAGTGTCCATATTGCGTCGAAGCCAGCCGACGCACTTGGAGTCCGAGGGATAGCCACTTCCCCAAGTTTGGGGGGTTGGGCTAAGTGATTGCTCAGCTCGAAGCACGGCCTCATACATCACTTCCAGTGCAACATCTCGTGTCACCTTGGCTACCACACTGGCGGCGCTGACACAGGGATACAAGGAATCGGCTTTCTTTGCCACCGTAATTTTGAGAGATGGGAATATTCGCTCCAATTTTTGCTGGTACGTAGCGGGGTTCCCAATCGTGTCAATGTATACCTCTCGCACATCCACCCCACGGTCTTCAACGACTCCTCGAATTATCTCCACCGTGGCATCCATAGCTTGGGCGTTCAGATTGTATACTGCAGTGGGTGATCTCATCATGCCAGAAGAGATGTCGCGCGCCGAAAGCACCTTGACCGCATATCCGCAGGACTCGAACAACGGATATCCTGGTGTATTCAATAGATGCATCAAGTTTTCTCGCACGGCGGGTGTAAGCACTTTGCTGTCATCAAAGCTGTGTTTCTCGGTCAAAAGCGAGTGATGAAGATCAAGAGGGAGATAGAAGGCACCGTAGACCATTGGCCCTAGGACTGGACCACGGCCGGCTTCATCGACACCCAAAACACATGGTGTACTCTCATTCGTATCATGGATCGTGGGTGAGGTCTGTTGGGGCGTGATTGCATTTGGGCATGGGGTGTAGTACGCGTAGGACTCGCCGGAGAGGAGGGGTTCTGAAATCACACTAGGAGGATTGACGTGGGGAGGATCGTTTGCCATAATAGTTATAGGGAAGAATGAGAAAGGGATAAAAGAAGTTCTTTGAAGGTTCAAAGTACAAAGCAAATGCAAAAGGTCTCCCGAGTGCACAACGCGTCGACCGTTCAGGATTAGCGGGGGGCGCGTGTTGCTCTTCCCGCCTAAATTCCGCATTCCTCACCTCCACCTTATCTCTCTGTGCCTCCTTTGACTGCTTTTCTTGAATCTCTTCTTATCATTTGATTACTATTATATCCTGGTGCTCAATTCTCAATATGGCACGAGGGCCCGGAAAGGCCCGCAACTTCGACTACTCCAATGTGGGAACCAAGGGAAGGTGAGTCGACATGTCATGTTACTTGTACTAGGACCTAGATACTGAATACGTCTAGACGCACTGGTATCTCTCTAAAGGAAGGTCGACGCGACGAACATGGAATGGAAGAAGTAGACGGTCTCTTCTCATCTCCTGAAAAGTCGCCTGTGGAGTTGAATGGTTTTGAAGATGTGGAAAATGACTCTTCGGTTGGATCCGAGGGTATGTCAATGGACGAAGGTGGGCCAATTCAGTGTCGCCTTATATCGCCAACTCATTGCATGCTGATGCAGTTTTAATAGGCAATGCGCCAGATCCCATGGACTTCCTCAAGGGCACAAATGGCTCACGCACCTCTTTTCTCCCCCCGCCTGCCGCGCGGTCGCCGATGAAGACTGGCCTCACTGGGTCTCCACGGAGGACATCAGCGTTTCAATCCACCCCGGACCCGCAGGACATTGAGTCGTCTAGTCCGTCCGACGGCAAAAGCTTTGCGGGCGCACAGGGGGAATCGCGTCAAGACCCATCTCCTCTTTCCACTCGCTCGGTGAATGTTGGACGCTCGAACCATAGGAATGGCACGCGGCAAACCCCTTCGACAAAGGCACAGCTAGCAGCAGAATTTGAGCCCGCAATCATACATGACTTTTCCGACTTTTCCGATGGGGACGAGAATGCGAATGCATTCGCCGCAGTACCACAAGAAGATTTCGGCGACAGTCTGGATGTTGATTCTGATTCGGTTGCTGCAGATGAGCTACCCGACTCTCCCGGGCAAGACCAACGCGATCATGACGATAATTCATCTACGGCTAACACGACTCCACCTCGGGAAGAGCCTGCCGTGGCCTCCAAGTCGACAAAAAGAGCCGCGCCAAAGACTGCCAAGGCAGACAAGAGTCAGGCGAAACCCCCTGCGCCGCACGGACGTCCAAAGTCTCAGCGCCGTGACGTCGAAAACGATGCCGACCCTAGACCAACCAAAAAGCGGAACGCTCCCAAAGCATCTCCACCGGTGCGTGAACCTTTGGAATCAGAATTAAGTCGAGTAGTTGAGAATTACGCCAACCGCACAGGTCCTTTGAAAGGCCGAAGTTTGTATATCCTCAAACGTGAAAATCCCACCGATAACAGTGCGACTCACACTCGCTCTGGGCGTGTTTCGGTCCGGCCGCTAGCATACTGGCGCAATGAACGGTGCATCTTTGGTGATGGGGAGGCAGCCGAGGGACATCGATTTCCTCTTTCAACCATCAAAGAGGTCATTCGCACCGAGGAGCAAGAACCTGAAAAGAGGAAGAAGAAGGGGAAACGCTCAACGTCCCACAAGTCCAAGCCTAAGACACAAAAGGATGACTCTTCAGACGAGGATGAAGATGTTGATCTCTGGGAAAAGGAAGGCGGTGTTCTTCATGGCTACACCCTCAAATGGGATGGAAAAACACAGACCAGTTCGAAGGAGGAGGAAGTTCTAGGTTTGAACCCCAACCCCTTGATAGTTGGTTCCGTCACTAAGTTTATCTTGATACAGACATTGCATATGCTCCCTCTGGAATCGAAACCAGAGAAGTCAAAGACTCAACATTCCGATTTGCGAAGCTGCTTAGCTCGTCGTTCATCGGGTCTGGGGTTGTGGAGCTCCCGCCTGATGGAGTCAAGAAACCTAAGAACTCGAAGAAAATGCACATGGTCTTTTATGTCTGCCACGGGCGTGTTCAAGTGGATATCTCAGGTGTCCAGTTTAGTGCTGGAAAAGGTTGTGTTTTCCAAGTTCCTCGTGGTGAGTCTCATTTTCTCTGGCTTTTGATTTGTATCACTGAATTGACCGTGTGGTCCCTTTCTAGGTAACTATTATAGCTTTGCAAACACCCATCAAAAAGAGGCTCGACTTTTCTTCACGCAAGGTTGTGTCCCCGATGAGAACGAGAACGAAGACGACACACCGCAGATGTCTCAAGATGCCGGCCCTGAGAGCGAATTTGAAGCCGACACTCCCACCGCCCCTGTGCCTGTCCCTGCTAAGAAATCCAAAGGCCGCCCCAAGGGCAAGCAGAAGAAGACAGGAAAATGATCACTTCCATTAGCTGTCCTCCATACCTGTTCTCATGTTTGTAGACATTGACAACGCGCCATGATACCTCCTTTCTACGTGGATACCCTGACATTTTATTCCGTGGGCGTCTAGTTGCCTTTTTATTGTTATTCGTTCTTCAGCGATTTGTTTTCATATGATTACCAGGGAATTTGGCGTTTTTTCTCGCCTATTGCTCTAGTTAATTATGCAGTATCTATTGGTGATAATTGGTTATGGAAGAGCAACTGAGAGAAGCTGGGAATCAGAACTTCGTTTATTCAAAAATCTCAACATGCATACGTTCAAAGTATAAATTACCCAGAGTCTCAAATCTCTTCCATTATGTCATCTAGGTCGTCGTCTAGACTCAACGGGGGGAACTCTCCGACCTCGACCTTCTCGGGCTTCACAAAGACGCCCCTATTGTCTAAGCACTCGAAGTAGCGCTGTCCGCCCACACTACCGTCATTCTTCCCCATCGGCTCGTCAAGCTCAATCCCGACCCAGATTGGCTGGAGATCTGCCGGAAGTTCTGCATCCTGTTGCAGCTCTCGACCCGGGCCAATAATAGGAATAGTTGAAACAGGTCCAACGAAGCGGATCGTGCCGCGTCGAATGTGCGGCGGAGATGAAGGTAGAACGATAGCTCGTTTAGCAATAGTGATTCCTGTTAAAATGGCATTAGACCAATGAAGAAAAGAAATCGCAATGACAGTTCAGATGTTTGTTTCAACGAACCTCTTGTTTGAACCTCTTTCTGGTCTTTCTCAACTTGATGGCGCAGAGCATCTTCCGGGGATAGAGCGTTGGGATCAAATCGGCCAAGCTTCTGGTTCTTCTTCCAAGCCAATACGGAGTCCGAACGGGCCTCATATGTCTCAGTCGGTAGAACATATTTCTCAACCGATGAAAGGTCGGTGAAGTTAGCCCGCATGGTTTGTGGGCGGCTGTCATTGACCTGTTGAGGATACAGATCAGTATGTATTTGGATTTGGAATCCATCACATTATCTTGCTCTGACAACTTCAATCAAATACATGGCATTTTGTGTCCGGTAAAGCAGCCAGAGCAGAGTCCTCCCCCCCCCCCTCCCTCCTTCAAAAGAAAAAGAATTTCGCAGAACACAGAAAGTAAAGAGGACTAACCTCAATTTCCGAACCCTTTACCAACCCCCAGTCCCCAATCAGGCGGTCGTCTCCATCGGCCCATTGATCAGGTCGACCAGGGACTTTCACCCGCAGGCGCTGGCATCCTGGTGGAATTCCCGTCATAGTCTCCAGCTTTGCCTTCACCTGCATCACCGTCCAGGTTGGAGTGATGCGGCGTTCAGTCAGGAACCGAGGCTCCGAGTTCCCGGGCTTGGCTAAAGCGGCATTTGTGATGATGACGGAGATATCCATCGGTGTAGGCTGGAATGCCATCTTGTCTCTGTGTCCCTTGACTTAATTTTTTTCGTTCTTCTAGAAACAAATGTTAGAGTGGGCTGTGAATCGATGCAAGTTCCTCATGGTAGGAAGAGATTCAAAGGAAACGAAATTGAAATCAGACAGTCAGATTCAAGAATCCGTAGTCCATATGAGCCCCCCTCGAAAAAAACAAGAATAGACGATGCAGTCGGCATGCATACTGGATTGTTAATATCAAGTTCCCCTGAGGGGCTCACAGGAAGCTGGCACTTGCCAGAGAAAATTTGTAGCAATTGATAGTATGAACACAAATCATTCTAGTCAAAAAGGACAGTCCTAGAGCGGGGTAGATAGTACTTACAATTGATTCTTATGCTCTGTGGTTGACAGGAAAAGGAACGTCGCCCAATCTTGACGAAGCAATTATTAGTAAGCGGTCTCCCACCGGGAACAGGTACCGCTTGATGCTGCACGCAGGTGAGATTGAAATTGGCAAATGAGATATGAGCTTGGCGGAGGACAAGGTGCAACCGATGGACACCCTTCTTTGGTGTAATATGGATCAACAATTGCCTGAAGTGGATATCAATGTAAGTCAACATTCAACGTTCTACATCACAGCGTATGATGGTTGATGGAAGGTGGCTAGTCTACAAAACAAAATGTACAGTAAAACAAGTTAATCTTTACAAAAACGTATATAATTCGAGTTGCCCTTGGAAGATTGGGAAAATTACAGTTTCTTTGCGGGGGGGGGGGGGGGGTTATTGCATGTTTTATACGTTGTTATAGTTATTGTCATCGAGCAATTCCAATCTAGCTCCCTTACTAAAACCAATCCCATCAGTCTTTATAGGCTCTATACTCCAGTACGCTATGCGACATAGACTATGTACTATATCATAGTAGCTTGCATTGTCATTGGAACAGCATTTAGAACTTCAAGACTCATGACCCTTTTTTTAAACATGACTTTCACGCACTTGATGATTTTCCCAATTTTGGAGGGAAAAAAAAGACGGGTCACACAGTCAAATTCAACGTCATTCAAGCATTATACTCTATGCTTTCTGTAGATCTACATAAAGTCACACCACGAATATCCATGGATGATGTAGATATTATGGCCCGTTACAAATCGCAAGCCACGTGATATTCACTCTCGCCTCGACTTTTCACTTCAACAAATCTCATCTTTTTCGCGACGAGAGCATCATGGCGTCCCAACCGACAGGCGAAGCGTATGAACAGCAAAACGTCCATGAGGTGTACCAAGAGATTGCTCAACATTTCTCTGCCACCCGTTACAAGGTGTGTTACTAGCGACCACCACCTTAAAGTCCCTTCCAACTAACCACTTTTCCAGCCTTGGCCTATAGTCGAGCGATTCCTCAAAAACCTAGTACCAGGCGCAGTGGGTCTAGATGTAGGGTGTGGTAACGGCAAAAACTTGATGGTCAATCGAGACGTTTTTATCATTGCTTCAGATAGGTATGTTTTTGAAATGAATTGTTGGATTATTGGATTTTTGGATTTTCTATAGACTGCTTTACTTGGGATACCATTCCGGCCGTCCAATGTATACCCTTTTGACTTGGTCTGGGCTAACCTGAATGGCAGATCTGAAAATCTGGCTCGGATTGCTCTGCAGCACCAGCCACATTCGACTGTGGTGGCTGATATCCTTGACCTCCCACACCGGGATGCAACTTTTGACTTTGCGATCTCAATCGCGGTGGTGCATCATCTTTCTACTCCGGCTCGGCGAGTTCAAGCAGTTGTCGAAATCTTGCGAACTGTAAAGCATGGTTCAGAGACGCAGGAGGGCGGGAAGATTCTGATCTACGCCTGGGCCCTCGAGCAAAAGAATAGCCGCCGAGGTTGGGACAAGGGTGATGAGCAAGATCGAATGGTTCCTTGGGTTCGTAAGGGTGATAAACCCCAGACTTTCCATCGCTACTACCACCTGTACGCGGAAGGCGAGCTTGAGCGTGATATCGGCAATGCTGGCGGTCGTGTGCTGGAATCCGGGTACGAGAAAGATAACTGGTGGGCCATTGCAACCCCCAAAACGGCTCATGACGTTTGAAAATGCGATATGCGCCCCGAGAGCCAGCCTCGGAGTCATAAGAAAAACACCTCAATTCGCACTTGCTGGTCCCGCCAAAATTTCCGCAAACAAAGGAAAAGAACGCAACAAACACCGCGGGGTAGAAATCATCTATACGATTCACTATCCCCACAAATCACGATATACCTCCAACCGGCGCTATGCAATTCGTAGCAGAAAACCACAAATGAAAAAACAGGAGGAAAAAAAAATTGAAAAACAAAAACAGAAACAGAAACAAAGAGGGGGAAAACTCAATGAAAGACGTGTAAGCGTCATCTTCGTCATCTCATCCTAGGGCATTGTCCGAGGGGGCATGCCAGGGTGAGAGCCCATGAGACCTGGTGGGAGAATCCCCATATCTGGTGGTCGTCCGATTCCATAAAACTCTCTCGGGGGAGGTGGGGCAGGTGCGTATGCAGGAACGCCTGCGGTGAGCTCCTCAAGGGAGGGAAGTTGAGGTGGAAGGCCTGGCAGATGGCCTGGGATTGCGCGTGAGGATGATCCCTTTCTCGGCCGGGATAGAGAGGTGCTGGCGCGGCGTGTTCTGGTGGTTGGGGGATCGATGGCGGTACTGGAGAGAGAGAATGGCACTACGCCTGCGCGTCGAGCCATCTCCTGCTCTCCCAGCTGCCAGTGCATGGCCTCTGCTGCACGCCATGGAATAGCCATTTCCTCCGCTACCTTGGACCACATTTCGGCTTTGAATCTATCAGATGAGTGTGAGATTAGTGGACATGTTTCCTTTCCGAGATTCCATCTCTTTCTTCCCTCCCCCACAAAACCTACCTTTCATATAAACGGGCTAGCTTGTTCTTCTTATCTTCATCCCATTCACTTCGGCGTTCCAGGTAGTTCTGATAATGAAGACGGCAACTGATGGCACTGCGGCCGGGCAGTCGTTTGCTGATATCCTCCCACTTCATACCACTGCCGCGCAGTTCAATGATCAAGGCGTCCTCATCCGGTGACCACTTGGACTGCTTCTTCGCTGGAGATTCGGAGGTGTGCGAGGGTTGTAGGCGTTTGGCAGCACCCGACGGGCCGGTCTTGGTCAAGGGTGGCATGGCCATGGCAGCCGGGCCCGGCATCGTCATCATGGGCCCTAGGCCCAGTGGTGGCCCTATCGTTCTGGGCGGGTACCCGGGGTTCAGGCCTGGGGTGGTTTCTTCCTCATCTTGGGGCTTGAGTAGCAGTGAGATATCCACTTTGACAGGAGGCAATATAGGCCGATTTTGTAACGCAATCATATGCGCGGATGAGCACCGGTGAATAGATTAGAAAACAAAGCAGCAGGGAGATCCCCGACTGGCAGGGGGAAGGGGCAAAAAAAAAAGGGAACAGACGGAAGGTTCTCGTGATCCCAAGTCTTGTCCCAAATATGACGACAGAACGATCAAACGTCCCAAGTCAACAGAGAATCACTAAACTCTTTTTGAAATGAATTGAACGGAAATCTCCAGGATATCAGAGAACAAGAAATGAGGGGGAAAGAAATATGGAAAGTAGGGTTGGAATTGTGCTAATGAAAAAGTTAGGGACTGTAGAATTCATAAAAAGGGAGAAGAAAAAGGACCATATGAAGCATCCTAGCAGGTGAAACGAATCCAGAAGTGACAGCTGATCTAAACCTATCTTGAAAAGAAGAGAGGAGGGAAAAAAACGAGTCCTAGACCGTTGGGGGGTGGACTATAAAGGGTAACGGGTGTTACAGAGTAAAAAACACTTCAATATCCACTGGTTTTAATTAAAGATGCGGTCAGTTCCCCTGTCTACATTGGTGATCTTCGGGTCTATGTTTTTTTTTTTGAAAGGCCAGGTTAAGTTTTTTTAGATCTTTGGGACTTCAAATGCATGCTTTGTAATTATAGAATGATATAAAAGTATAGTATAAGAGTAATAGGATGCCCTTTAGACTATCGACTTTTGACTCCAAAGTATATGATGTTTGATATGACCTGCAGAGTTTCATACTAACCTAGAAAAGGAAGAGGGGCAACCTTCCATGGGATTCAAACGGTACCATAGTAGCATACCATAGATTATAACTAGACTAATTCTCCTCCGTACTAATTCTGCTAATTAATCCTATTTACTTTTCAATTTTTTTCAATTTTTCATTTTTTGGGGAGAAAATATCCCCCCCCCCCCCCCCAAAATTCTAAATTAAAAATAAATAACAACCTAAACAACGTAAATAATAAACCCCAAAAAAAAAAAATACTTTACTGAAAAATTAATAATGAATAAAAATTAAACCCCCGGGGACCCGCATCACCCTTTGGTTAAATGAGAACGGTCTTCTCCGGTCCAGAGCCTAGCCCGCAACTAAAAAAGTTCCAGATCGTTTAACGGCTTTTTTGAAAAATGTTAATTTTTTTTTGATATCCGTTTAAAGGTGCTGATATGTCAAGATTGGAACCAGTCGGGGATTTTTCTCTCATTCACTTCCAAGGTTTCTTTCTACTCTGTGGGGCTCTTCCGGGTTCCCGACTCTCGGGTGTCCATGTGTTCATTCTCTATAACAAAACTTATATAAGGGTATTCTTCGACTTTGAACAGAGTTGTAACACATTTTCTTTTTCTTTTATTTTTTGTTACAAAAAACTAAACTGAATCGGTCCCCCATCCTATTCTACCCTCTATAGATTTCAGATTGGTAATCCGTAGTCATTTGCTAGATCTTCAAGACCTAGAAGGTCTCAGAACTGGTTCTTGAACGACGGGGCACGCGTTCACGCATTTCCAAGATTTAAGGGACTGGTGGGTCATTTTCAACATTTCCAAGGTTCCCAATTAGTAACCCTGTCAGTTTCCTTCAATTTCCACCATTTCCACCAGTTCCCCCCTCCACCGTGACAGCCAATTTCCCCTACAATGCAATTCTATGTTGTGTAGCGCATCCCCGACCCAGAAATCGGGCATGCGCCTACAAGTGCCTGACCCCTCCAAGGTTGGATTCTTAGATATATTTCTCTATTCTTCGATTTTCTTCGATTTTCTCATAATTCTTTGTTTGCAGTATCCCTCGGTAGATCATATTAAACGAGTTTCCCTTCGAGTTTCCTTTACCCGATCAGCTTTCCTGAAACTTTTCAATCAACCCACCAAGGATCAGCAAGCTATTTCTCTTGTTCCTACCGGGTCTCGAATCTCGTTTTATCAACTTTCCCGTCAGGCTCCCCCCCAAAAATGGTAAACCCAGGAAAAAAAGAGAGTCGAACGTGTAAGTGGATCATGTACAACGTTCGCAAGGCGATCATTGCCTCCCTTGGCTTCGTTCGGAGCCAGCACAGACATGGCCCGTTCGGCAGCTACGGCTCTCGACCTTATGATCTGCTTGGAGCAACCGGGAGGGGGGGGGGGTAATCCGTATACCAATGCTCGGGTTGTGTCCGAGAGGGTGATAGGTAAGAATGGAGAGATACAAGACAGGAGATCGAAAGTATCGAAAGTTGGTTGACACGGGAAGAAGCCACACGTGTGATGATACACGCAGGATATCCTCTACCCAGTGCAGGGAAGACCAGGTCAGCCAACCATGAAGAAACAACGGTGTGGAGTGCCAAGGAGAAACGTTGGATCATAATTATGACCTAAGTGGTAGCGAAGAGCTGGTGGCGCACGGAGTGTTTCTCTTTTCTATTTATTCTCGCGATCGCCCTAAATATCCGACACGCACCCGTTGGACCCAGTTTTTTGGTGGAGTTTGATTCGAAGCTCATTATTTTGCTGTCATTTCGGTCATTTCAGGTCTTGATTTTGGGGGGTTTCTTTAGAAGCTTATAGGGTTTTATGTAGCCATATCCGCACTTTGAAGAATTTGGGTTCCACTTGGATCATTGAGATCATCTTCAGCTGAAGTTACATCCGTTTGGATGGGGGCAGTGCGCTCAATGGTGGATCTTCGGTAGATGCGAGGAACCCTGCTGTCAAGACCTATACTATATGGATCATCGGGGTAGGTCATATTTGTTCCGGGAGTGGATGTATCCCAAATATATCCCATGTCAAAGTACAGAGACAAATCCCGATATAGAAGGAAGTACGGGATAGCTTTCGGCCGGATCTCTGGATATGTCCAATCATTAGCCTTGAGATTTCTATTTCATTTGGCTCCACATCTGAAACAGCCTTGTGTGGGGGGATCCCTTCCAGACACCCTTTACTCCGTTAGGAGACACTTTAGGTGGAACTGGTTCATTTGTGCTCCGTATTTCTCCTTCACTCCCGTACAATGTTCAAATTGTATTTTATCATCTTTGTAGACTAGTCTCGAAAATGTAAAAAACCGGGGGGGAGGAGGTGATCAAAAGGAAATTGCCTGATGCCAACCCATTTAGGGTCCCACTGGGCCCTGGAAGTTGATCTCAGGGATGCCCGAGTCGCACTTTTTTGGTTAAAGAAATTTTCACCTTTAGTTTTTTTTTTTTTTTTTCCTCCTAGAATATCTGGACGGATTCGATTTAATGACATATCTCTAGAAAAGGGGAGATGCCTTCAAAGTAGATTCTTTTGTTAAAATGCAAATCGACCTCGAATCAGATGTAAAATCGTGGAACGACTGGATATCGGCGAAAGAACACGATAATCAAATCCAAAGTCGGATGAAATTGGAATAAGTGCCTCGGGAATTGACTCGATAGATGGACGTTCTTTGATCAGAGTCTTGACATCGTTGGTTCATTGGTTCTATCCCAGATTCTTTGAATTCAAGGCGCCTTTTCGGTGGAGATGAAAACAATGAAAATCGGTAGTAATGTAAGATAAATTAAACTGCGAACCCCTCAAGTGAACAATGGCTTCATGTCACAGCTGTTCACTGTGAATTCGATCATGCCCAGCCCTAATCCTACAGAGAAAGTTGAAGAAGTCGAAGAGGATGTGTTGGAAGTGGTAGACGAAACAATGCCAAGAACAAAGTCAGCAAACGAGAAAAGGACATTAAGAGTCAGTGCTTAGTCTCTTCAATATCAGTACTCTAACAAGAGAGATAGACCGTCATCCCTAAATATTGGCATCCAGACTTGCCCAACAAAACCACCGTGGGCTTTCCAAATGGCGGAGTTGACTGTTATCGAAATGTCGTCTTCCAAATGATTCTACACATGCCGATTTTCTACAATTGGCTCCTCTGGTACAAGGAGCACCATGCCCCTAAGGGTCAAAATTGTAATCTAGGCTCATCGGAAGAAGGTCCCAGCGAATGCCAAGTTTGCCAACTTGCTGAGATCTCACAGGCTTACTGGGAAGGTGAAACTGAAAGTTGGATACCTACATTTGAATCCCTAGCACACTCGCTTTTGCAAGATTGGAAACCGGGGGGAGTAGACTCGGAACAAGACCCGGCAGAGTACTTTGAGGAACTTTTCAAAGCGATCAGGCATAGCACCAAGCCTATGATGCATGTTATTCTCTCCCTATCCCCCACAGAAGACTGACTTTAGACTCCAGGCAAGGAGACTTGGAAGATGTCTTCCAAGTCGAAATCATCCAGGTAGTAAGATGCGCTGGGAAAAACCCCTGTGACCCAAAATACACCCCAACTCCGTGGCAGTTCATGAGGATCAGCTTATCCGGGGAGGAAGGGGATATACTTCCCGAGAAGCCTACTTTGAGCGATGTAATTGCACAGCACTTTGATCATGAGGACCATTTCGGTGTGTGTCTGCAGTGTGGAGGCAAGAAGACAGCCAAAGACCAAATTGGAAGTTTCCCTGAGCTTCTCTTGGTCCAGCTCAACCGCACCAGTCAGCTAGGAAAGAAGATCAACACCCACGTTTATTTGAGCGAACGGTTAAGTATCGAGACACGGTTCATGGATGAACGCTGGGGCAATGAACGAAAAGTTGTCCAGTACAAATTGACCTCGGTGGTCTTGCATCACGGCCAGGATGTGACACGAGGTCATTACAGTATCGGCGTTAAGGGTAAAGGAGATGAATGGACCAACGCGAATGACACTGAAATCTCGGACTGGGATCCTGAAGGGCCCGGAGGCAACCCGAATCATCTCGCCACCGGTTATCTTTTTACATACCGCCGGCTACCCACGGATGACCCAGTACAGACACTCCCCGAGGCACCGACAGCCGAGGGAGATAGAGGGACCCCTAGCCCCTATGCTATGGAAATCGACCCGAATACACCGTCGGACGACGGGGGTAGGTTCGTGGATTTTGATTCTGGGCCAGTGTTACCCGCGGTGCCTGAGGACTCTGTCCCCAAATCAGGCTCTAACGCCTGGGGAAACGATCCCAAGGCATTGGGGAATTTACTGGACGTGATGGTTCCCAAGATTGTCGATAGCTATATAGCTCGCTCCGCGGATGCGAGGCGCAAGGAGTGGGAGAAATGGGCGAACGAATGGGAGAAGAAGAGGGAAACAGTCAAAGCAGAGACTTTGACTTCTGCCATAGGTTCTCCCATTGGTTCTGATGTGGGTACCGGTTCCAGTGAGGATATAGTCGACTGGACTAAGCAACGAGGACGACTCGAGATAACTTTGACTGGAGATGCGGGGAAAGGGGCAAAGGTGTTGGATCTTGAAGTTCAAGGTATGCACTACAATCGACTCAAGAGGAAGAAAGGAAGAAGGATAGAAGAAGAAGCCTCGGAAAAAGATTCGACCTTTAGCAAATTTAAGAGAAAGGTGCAAGGCAAAGCGAAGGAATTTGAGAATGGAAAGGGGAAGAGGAAGGGGAAGAAGTAGAAGTTGAGTAGTTGGAGATATCTCGGTTCCTTTTGGTTCTTTCAGTTTCAATCTCCCATTTTCTTTCTTTCGCCTCTTCTTGTCCTATACACATCACACTAAAATGGATTCCAATTCTCCTCACATCTTCATTGATCGTTTGATCACAGAATTGGCAGAACAGCCAGCTGGTGGACTTTCAAAGACCCAAAAACCGCTGATGTTGACATTGCACTGTCTATTCCCAAATGACTTCCTCCCTGCCCTCGATATCCTCGACCGCAAACTAGTACGTCAACTTGTACGATCAGATCAATATGCCACTTCCCTAGAGACAGTTCAAGAGGATATTTTTCTTGTGATATCTGCCTCGATACCGCCTTCATGTTCGGGTTCATCAGTCCCTTTCCAAGAAAAGGGCTACGAGGTTCGGCTGCGTGCCTGGAATTGCAGCTGTCCTACATTTACCCTGTCTGCATACCGAGACTCTCAACTCCCGGCGAAGCGTCCGACAAACGAACAGAACCAGTTGGCTTACTCATTTGGCGGAACGTTAGCTCGTGGTACGGCTCGGGTGTCGCCTCCTACCTGCAAACATATCCTAGCCTGTATTCTACATGCACGGTGCCCTGAGCTGTTCGGAGCGGATGGGGATGGTAGATTTGCCGTTTCCAAGGAGGAATTGGCAGGCTGGTGTGCTGGTTGGGGTGGTTGATTTGCTTGGCTCTTGACACGTCAACGCAAATTGATGTGCTATGAATACCAAGCACTTGGGCCAAGAGTCGTTGGCTCAGTAGCAGCCGCAAGCAAACCATATGACATCCATCCCAGGTATCCGCAGATGGCAACGTGTCTTACTACGGACCCTTGTCCATTCCACCTGAACCATCTGCCCGTGTCCGGGCAATAAATCGCTGAACAACGCATGAGAAGTCGGCTGACAATGAATGGGCACTTATCCCATAGCCCTTACGAGATTGCATGATAGACACGCCAGTGGCAATGTTCAAGTTTCATCACTCAACCTGTACTTAAAATACACACCTTTGTAAAGTAACAAAGGTTTTGTTTTTCGCTGTGCGAAACGGACGAACTCGGACTACTGCCAATAGTGCTGACATTGACTATCCATTATCCATGGCGAGACACAAGCAAACCCAGTTGAAAGATCTTATACTTCACTCATTGGATTGACAATTCTTTCTGAAAAACAATTAAGTTAAGAAAATCCACTAGTTCTTCTTGTTCTTGTCAGAGCTACCCTGCTCCTCCTTCTGCTCGCCATTTGGCGAACCCGCTTTCTTGGCATCCTTGTCTCCCTTGGTTCCATTGACCTCCTGATCCCGCTTGGTGTCACTCTCCTCTTGCTGTTGTCGGTTCTGGATCTTGTTATCGATTAAGTCGTGGAAAGCTGTAATAGCACGGATCAAGCTGCTGATGTAGATAGCCATCAATTGATCATTAGTCTTGACACTCATAGCCCGTGCCAACTCGCTGTTCTCAATCTGCGGCTCCTGACCGCTGGTCCGCTGCGTCGCCGGTGGGGTGGACAGATTAGGAAGGAGATTGAAAACATCTTGGAGGTTGCCCAGAATGGCGTGGTTGACGGGAAGTTCCTTGTCGAGAACTTTCTGGAGGTATTGGCCGATATCGCGTAGCCGCAGATGCAATCCTTGCAGTGACTGCAGCTGTGACGTGATACGGGTGGAAAGTGTGCCGACTGCGACGTCCCTGATGTCTCGGAGGAGATGCTCCACGCCAATCTCCTCGGCTTCTTCTGCCTCGATTATCGACGGGGTGTGCACAAACGTCCGAGAGGTTGTTGTTCCATCCTGCAAGTGAAGAAAGATAACTCTAGTTAGACCTGGTGGCCCGATGAGTGCTTCCTCGGATTCAAATGTAAACTCACATCCTTGATTTCATCCACAGCGAAGTAAGCATCTGTAGGCACACCGACTTCCTTCGGTTGTACATCAACAATAACCAGCAACGGATTGGGCGTGTATTTCTTGAAAAGCTCATTGATCTCCAAATCCGAAGCGCGCAGCTTAGGACCCGAGTGGTACCAGCCGACTAGCTTCTCGCGAGCATTGATTTTCTTGAACATATCCCTCATCGACTCGACGAAGTTGTGATCCAAGAACCACACCGATGGGTCTTTTTCATCCTCCTCGAACGGAACTAGAGAAATAGAAACACACATGTCAGCTCATCTTTTGTTTAGGTTTGATTCACGGAAGCTTGCACTCACCAGCAAAACTGTTTGATACCCGGACGTTGTCTCCCGAGTTCTCGCCTAGCAGCACACCTACCACACGTTTCCTGGTACCCTTTGCCGTTCTCCCATAGTGATCTGCGACAGAGAGGAGGACTAATGGGGCGACCGTCACGGAGCGGTTGACGAGGGATAGCGTGTCCGCCGTGGTGGCAGGCATCGTGAAAGGGAGAAAAGGTGAAAAGAGATCGAGAGCTATACGGACTGATTAAAGCTCTTAGATTAAATAAAATCTAACGGAATGGCAAATCAACGCGAGACAGGAGAATGCGGTGGATGGTGAGCGATGATGCACAGGTGCTCTTGAGAGCTCTCCGCCACAGAGCTGCGCCATTTGAGGCTGGAGAACTTAGTAAGCGGTCACCTTGCATTTTGCCCGGTGAGAAGAGGAAGCCTGAGGAAGCTTGAAAACAATAAATGTACTTGGACAAGTGATTTGCTTGGAATGTAGATAATGTAGGACAAAAAACACGTTGTATTAATACTAATTTGCAACAATATCAAGACGTAACTCGTATACGTCGCCTCCTACAAAATTCTACCATGTATTCAATCCATCCCATCGTGAAGCCCGTGCTTTCCGAACCCCGGGCGCTAAGTTCCTTGCGAATCTTCCCTTTCCCCATTTCTCCGTTTCCCCGTCTACAGTCTTTTGCTTCAAACCTCTTCCCTCCTACAATTCACAATGGCTCCCATCACTGAAGAGGCTGTCTCCGGTCTGAAGAACGCCATCCACCAGCTGGAGGCAAAGGTGTCCGAGCTTGAGAGCCGTCTTGCCAATGGCGGCAAGCCCAAGTCCGCTGCCGAGCAGATGCGCATCATCCTGATGGGCCCTCCTGGTGCAGGTATGCAATTGACCTGTAATCTAAAAAGGGCACTAGATATTAACAGGTTCAATTAGGCAAGGGTACTCAAGCCCCGAACCTTAAGGAAAAGTACTGCGCATGCCACCTGGTGAGTAGAAAGTTTGCCCGAGCACAACATAAGTTCTTCCCACTAATAAATCTCCTGAATAGGCCACCGGTGACATGCTGCGGTCTCAGGTCGCGAAGAAGACCGATCTTGGAAAGGAAGCCAAGAAGATCATGGACCAGGGTGGTCTCGTTAGCGATGAGATCATGGTCAACATGATCAAGAGCGAGCTCGACAACAACTCAGAGTGCAAGAACGGGTGCGTACATCTACCTTTCCTTCCCCAGCTTGATTTTTTCCGAGGCCCGGTCAAAATTAACACGAGAGGTGGTCAGTTTCATTCTGGATGGTTTCCCCCGGACGGTTGCGCAGGCCGAGCGTCTCGATGACATGCTCGTCGCTCGTAATCAGAAGCTCCAGCACGCCGTTGAGCTGCAGATTGACGACTCTCTGCTGGTGGCTCGTATCACCGGCCGCCTGGTCCACCCTGCCTCTGGCCGCTCGTACCACAAGATCTTCAACCCGCCCAAGGTTGACATGAAGGACGACATCTCCGGAGAGCCGCTGATCCAGCGTTCCGATGACAATGCCGAAACCCTCACCAAGCGTCTGGCTACTTACCACGCCCAGACCACCCCTGTCGTCGACTACTACAAGAAGACCGGTATCTGGCGCGGCATTGATGCCAGTCAAGAGCCTGGTCAGGTCTGGAAGAGCATTCTTGGAGTCTTCCGCCAGTAGGCGATTCTCTTGGATTGATTGCATTTAAAGGGGGGGATTTAGGGGGTCGAGGGAGGGGGTGGAGACAATTTAGGACAATTTACCAGTCCAGGCTCCGTGATACCTACCTTTTTTTCCCTATGTTTTTTCTTAATTGGGTACATCGGAAGCATGGCTGGTGTTTTCGTCCACATATAGACGTGGGGTTTTCCCCTTGACCGCCATGTATAGTATGTGTGTACCTTTGAGTACCGAATACACTCAAGACCGGTATGCGTTTAATTGGATCATTGGGTAAAATTTGTAGTCTTTGCTCATATTTCTGTGTCTTCACCTAAAACTCGTATTATTCAAACTTGACATGTAACTCACCACTAAAATTGCAAAGGGTACTCAGTCGACTCAATCTTTTGAGGGTAGGTCAAACCACCCTGCTTTCGCACCTCATCCATGACCTCCATGATCACGATACTCTCGTCCAATGGCAAGCCCTCGCTCTCGAGCTTGCCATCTCGGAGACAGCGAGCAACCTCATCAGCCTCCCAGTACATGCCCTTACCATTACCAGGGAACGGGCATTGAACCTCACGGATCTTACCGGCACCTTTCTTGGGGATTATACAGTAGCTTTCTGGTCGGAAAGGCTGGCCGTACACCTGGATCTCACCTTCAGTGCCCTGAATACGGACGGGGGGACCAGCCGAGCCCTTCTCATCCGGATCAGCAGAAACACGAAGGTTGGCTATAGCGACACCGTGCGATTGTTGTGGGTGTGGGCCATTGGAGGGAGTGCTTGTAGGGAAGCTCAGAAGCATGGTTGTGGACTCATCTACACCGGTGAGGTGATAAGGAGTCATCTGCGAAGAGATAGTGGGTGGCTTCCTCTGGTCTCGAGGCAGGGTGTGGTATAGAGTCTGGAAGACCCAGGTCAAGGAGTAAATACCCACTAGAAGAAAAGATCAGTCAGTGCTTTATTTTTCTTTCTGTGCTTAGGGGGACAATCAACGAAAAACCCCGGGAAAACCTACAATCCAAGAGAGCACCACCGGCCAAATCGGGGTTCACCATGCGGTGTGTAGTACCCCATTTTGTCTCGACATCATCACCGAAGCTCGTGTCAGCTACGACACGGAGGACCTCACCGATCTCACCCTTTTGAATGAGCTCGCGGACCTGAATGCTGAGGGGAAAGTAGCGAGTCCAGACGGCTTCCATAAGAAAGAGGTTCTTCTGGCGGGCAATTTCGGTGAGGATCTTAGTTTGAGCAGCGTTGACGGTGAAGGCTTTCTCGCAGAGAACATTCTTGCCCCCCTCTAGCGCGAGTCTGACGTTCTGGTAGTGGTGGGAATGCGGGGTCGCAATGTAGATAATATCGACGTTAGAGTCGGCCACGAGAGTCTGGTAGTCGCCGTATGCGGAGCAGGGGGTTGTGATTCCTCGAGCCGAGATGAATTGCTCGGCCTTGTCCTTGGACGAGGACGAGGCGACGGCGACGACTTGGTGGGCTACGTCAGAAGCATCGCGGAGTTTGGGGTCGATGAGAAGGTCATCCGTGAATGCTGTTGGAGGATAGGTTATATCGTAGGTTCTTGTCTTATACGCCCATCTATTGTAGAAATGACATCTTACTCTCGGCGATCCAGCCAGTGGCTATCGATCAGTCAGTTTTCACCTGTTTTCCTATTTTTCGATAAACAGGATGTCATACCCATGATACCCCATCGAACAATGTGTGGCGCCATGATGGGAGTAAATTTAACGAGTAGAGCCGATCCAAAGGCACAACGTTTGAAGATCAGATCGATGAAAAGACTGTTTATGTGGAGAGAAACTTATTTATGGGGAAAACATGGCGGGGATGTGCCGAGCGGGGCAACTGGGGAGGACCCGTACGATCCTACGTGGATGCTCAGTTGCAATGTTATACGATTTTGTTGAGAGTAGAAGGACTCAATTCGCTAATAAACGCCAGGGAGGTATGCCCTATGCAATGCAAGAATAATTGCGTTGAAATTTGGTACAAAAAAGATCATCAGATCTCGGTCTTGATGCGCGTCTTCTGGCTTGGAGATTCAGTTCCCTATGTATAGTTAGCTCTCTGAACATCCAACACACTCAAGGGAACTCACTTCAACTTTCCGCTTGCCCAGTACAGAGTCCGGTGTACTGGTCCGTGTCTGGCGCGGGCCCTTGGTCACTTCGGAATAGCAGCTGGCATGATACACACGACTTCCGATCTTGATTGCGTCTTGCCAGATCCAGTCCTGGACATCCTCAGACCAGGTTGATTCGAATTTCTCCTGACAGATGGGGCATGGGGTGTTGCGGAGGGTGGCATCGTTCGGAGCTCGAATCCACGGCTTTGGGGGTTCTTGCTTACTACTGCCATCCACGCCTGAAGCTCCTTCATTCGTGGCTTGGGGATCCACTGTACCGTTTTCGTCGCCAGCTTCCCGAGATTTGATCCAGTCCTATTGGATTTAGAGATGAAACTTTAAGAAATACAGGAGATGAACATACCCTTTCATCAACATACCAACTGCGATTCTGAGCCCGCCGGGAGGACTCAGTCATGCGCTGGTTAGTCTTGAAATGCCAGTCTAGATGCCGGGCCTTCATTTCCTTGCCTTCCTCCGTTGTCATGAAGCGACGGCCGCAAGTTCCGCATCGGTTCGGTCGGGAATCATAAAGAGAGACGATGAGTCCGAATCGAGGGATCTTCATAGATGCGGTGTTCATGGGGACAGAGGATCCATTGGAGGAAATTGGAGTTTGGGACGGGGCTGGGGTGGTAGGTTGCATTCCATGGGGCAAGATGAACGGTAAATTGGACCTCCCAGTAGCTGGTGTCGAAGTCGAATGCGTAAGAGACGAGGGTGTCGATCCACCAGGTAGAAGTCCACGTGCCCTCAAGGCCGCAATAAGAGGGTTCTCCGGCGCTAGCTGGGGAGGGCCGCTTTGGTGAGGATATTGGGGCATCTGAGACAGCGTTGCTGGGATTTGAGGTGGCGGGGTGGACTGCTGACGTGAAGCGGTAGCTTTGATCAGCTCGGCGAGAGTGTTCTGGTTTAATAGTTGCTGGAGGGGCAGCGAGACTGACAGCGCTGGAGGTGTGGGGATTTGTGGAGGAGCAGATACTGCCGAACCGTTCGTAGCGGTATTAGGAGCAACCGACTGCGGTCTTGTAGCAGCAAGCGCAGAAACCTGATCTCGGACAAGTTTCAACTGATCTGGGGCGAGCTGTTGTTTCTGTAGAATGGCCTGAAGATCCACCAACGCTTTCAAGCGTTGTTGAGAGACGGGGTTAAACGGACTATTAGCAAAGTCAATCTTTGCAGAAGCGATCAGGGCATCCACGTCTCGATTGAGGTAGCTCAAATCGACATCATGTCGATAAGTCTGGGGAGGTGTCTATGAGACCCAGATTAGCTTTGAATGTGACAAACAAGCGAAAGTAAACTTACCGAATTAGAATGACCATTATTGTGATACTGATTTTGTGAAGGCCGAGGCATATTCTGGGGTGGTATAGCGCTGTTGATCCACCCAGTCGGAGTCCCATTTCCACGACTACGACCGAGGATGTCCGGTTGGGCCCTGGCCTGTTGTTGTTGCAAAGCCGCAGTACGTGCTTTGATGAGAGCGCTCTCGATGTTGCGTGTGATGTCGGGAGGGAAGACTGGGCGCGTGTCCAGGGAGCCTGGGGCCGGCTGCTTCCATGTGTTGAGCATCTCATCCAACTTCCTTCGGGTATTCCCATCAACCAGAGTATAAACATTCATGAAGGTCTGGTACATGTTGCGGCCAAGGAAGAGGGTGTAGGGGCTTCCAACGTTCTTGACAATGGAATCGGCTACATAGAGGGCTGGAAGCTTCTGCAGTGGTGGTGTCTACATAGTGGTTAGTACTCATTCTGTACTACGCCACATAACAAATTGCAGGAGCACGTACTGATCGAATGTGGTTCTCCAGAACCCGGGAGATAGCCATTGCGTGTTCGGTATTCTCTTTGGCGATGACAGTCAAGGTGCGGATCTGGATTCCATCGTTGGTTGTTAGATCCTCCAAGGAACTCTTGTAGTCCTCCGCAATTTCATCGGAAACGAGGCCTGACATTATGGCGATGTGGGATGAGTCGAGGTGACCTGGATTTATCAGAAACGGTCGAGAGCAGAAATCAGTATCAAGACGAAGTTCAGCACGTGGTCTTTGTTTTGTTCCCTCTCCTGCTCTTTTTCTTTGTTCTCTGGTCTCGTATGTTTCCGAGTTTTCTTTTCTTTCTCCTCCTCTTCTTCTTCTTCACTTTTTCCTTTTTGGATAGCTTCTGCTTATCCTTTTTCCTGTGACTATCAAGACTGTCTTCTTTTCTTAATCCTTGTCCTCGTTCCAAGGAACAAATTCTCTTGGATCAGCGCAAAGATGGAAAAATAGTCGGAACTTGTAAATGCTTGCTAGCTATTTTTGCGAGAATTGAGAAAACAATAGTATTCAAACGCTTGCTCTCAGTCCAACCCAACCCGTAACCTTCCTGTACCCTTGTATTTCTACCTTCCAGTCAAATTATCGCCCGAGGAATGGAGGAACAAGCGAAGAAACGCTAGGTTGAAAAGCCGCGTCCTGCGAAAAACCAAGCAGATGCAGGAAGTGGAAAATTGAAGAAACAAAAAAAGGATACCAAGGGGTAAATGCAATAGGATAGCGCTGTGTAGCAGTGAAGCAATGACAATTGAAGTTTGACAAGAAGAAGAAAAGAGAGAAGTGAAGTGGTGAGGATGTGAGATGGTGAGGCGGAAACGCCAAAGAGAAAGGGATTGTCAGAGATGAAGTCATGTGATCGTGTAATGACGCATTCAACCTCTCCTTGTCAGACTTGGAATTACTTCCATTTGCTTAATTTTGTACTCAATCCATTTGAAAAAGAAATCTCTGTATTCTTCAATATGAAGCTTAAGTTTGCTGCCCTGCTAGTCCTACCACTTGCACTAGCCGGATCGCTCAAGTCCGTCATCGTCACCTTCCCCAAGGGAACGCCTGACTCGGTGGTCAACCGGGCCAAATCATCCCTAGTGGCTTCAGTACGCAGTGTTTCTTTGTTTTCATAAGGCTGTTATGACTCTGAACTGACATCTATAGGGTGGTGTCATCACTCATGAGTACGGTAAGTTCTATGATCTCCCTTGCTCACATCCAGATGTGGTGGTATCATTCCATTGCTAACATACATGACTTATGCAGCTCTAATCAAGTACAGCTTCAACTCACGTTTCTGTCCTATAAACCACTTTCTAACTATAGCTTTAGTGGCTTCGCCGCCGAGGCTCCTGTGAGCGCTCTCCAGACCCTCTCCACACAGGACACTCAATACAAACCGAATATTGAAGAAGATAAGGTTGTCAATGCGTACGGAGACTATGCAGCTGCAGTCTAACATGCCTTCTCCACTGAGATGCTGGGTGTTGTGAATCCCACAACTCTGAACCCATCATAAAGTCCGGAGGCAAACCCCCATGTTGGGATGAACCAATCGGAATTACACTCTCAGGGGGCTTTAGGGGATTTAATACAATCTCGGTGTTTGGATATATACAATGTGGAGTAAACGCTTCAGCCCTTGCGCTTCAGCTAAGGGCTTCAGGGGGTTAAACATATTGATAGGGTTGACTATTTTTTCAAAGAATTTACTGGAAATATACAATGTATTCATCATCGCAATATATATCTTACAATTCAAGACCTGAGTTATTTACTTCGTAGCAAATCTGAAAGCATGGACAATATACACACGGCCGATCAAACTCTCCCCCCCGCTAGTTGACTCCCGTCCTTGTGGCTCCGAAGGCGCGTGGACCTGGAAACTCCCTCGTGAAGCATTTTGCGTTGTTATCCCTCGCTTTCCAGTCTTGGAAATGCTGGAATTGCTGGAATTACAGCCTTCTTTGACACTCGATTAAAACGCGTTGCCAGAATGGCGTCGGAACACACGGTGACCAAGGTTCTGTTGGAATGGATCAACAGCTTCTCCTTGGGCAAAACCCTTCGAGCCACCGATGAATTGACCGATGGAATCATTCTGTGGGAGATTCTCCAGGATATTGACCCTCAGTATTTCCTTGAGGAAATCCCAGAGCCTAACTCCTCCGACCATTGGGTGGCCAAGTGGCAGAACCTGAAGCACATCCACAAATTACTGCTCAACTATATTCGACACCAAAACGATGACATCCTACCCTCCGGTCTCGATCCGTCGCCTGATCTCGAATCTATCGCCGAAAAGGCCTCTACTAAGGAAACAAACAAACTGCTGAAGCTTCTCCTGATCGCGGCCATCAGCTCCCCCAACGCCGGAACATACGTACAAACACTTCAGGAACTGAGCACTTCGACACAAGAGGGGCTTAGGGATATTATTGAGGAGGCGCACAATGGCCAATACGAGCCGATGGACGCTGCAGACGAGCTCAGGGAAGATCTAGCCAAGCACGATCGCCCTGTGGACCTGGAACTGCAATTTGAAGAACGCGTCGGGAAAGTGCTTGCGGAGAACGACCGTCTAACACACGAGAAAAAGGAATTGGAAAAGGCATTAGAGGACTTGCACAATCGCCTTGCGCGTCTCCAGGAGAACAATGACACCCTGCAAAATCGTCTCGCATCCACTGAGGACCGGCTAATCACATTGAAATCTGGGAAGGGTGATATCGGTCAAAACGCAAAAGCATTGGAAAGCAAGACTCGTCAACAGGACGATCTTATCGCCTCTCAAGAAGCGAAGTTGACGGTGGCCCAGGACGAAATCGACAGTCTTCGCATGACTGTCGAGTCCTTACGGGTCAAGAATCAACGCTATCAGAAGTTGCAGGATGACTATGATGAGCTCCGTACCGAAAAGGATCAACTCGCGCGCAAGGCAAACGCAGCCGAGAAATACCGCCAAAAGCTGCAAGCTAGCCAAGACTTCGAGAAAGAGAACCAGACACTCAAGAACCAAATCAAAGACCTTCAGCAGCAGCTGAAAGAGGCAGACGCGCAACAACGATGGTCTTCGGAGCGCGATGTTGAACTGGAAGAATATCGAAAACTTCTGCCGCAAGTTGAGCAGGAATGCAATGAGATTCAGAACTTGAAGAAACAACTTGAGTTCAATAACCATGCTCTGACGGAGCGACTTGAAAGTGCGGATGAACAGCACGAAAGAGACGATGCTTTGATCAGCGAACTGCGTGAGCGCCTTGGGGAAATGGACAGCTTGCCGGGCAGCGCATCACCTGGCTCTGAGACGCCAAAGATGCAGGGGACATTGCACAAGGACTTTGAGGCACTCGGTGTTAAAGAGTCTCAACTGTATGTCTACAGCTGGCCTTGGTGGCCTTATTGGATGCTAACTGTTGACAGTAAATCCGATAATGATGACTTGAAGCGGGAATTAGAGTCGATTAAAGAACCTTCAGCTGTATGATCGCTATGTTCTCTCTCAAAAGTTTTATTGATACTAACAACTAACAGCCAGCCTCTCATACCGGAGGCTTCTCCGAAAACTTTGCTGCATCCGTGCACCTGGTGCGCTCTGGTTCCACCCAAAGGTTTGATTACGAGAAATTTCGGTTCAATGAACAGAATATCTAACACACTTCACAGTGAGGACTATTGGAAGCTATATGAAAACTATACCGGGGCTCTCAAGAAGATTGCAGAGGTCCAGGACACCTTGGAAACAGCTAAAAGGGACCTTTCTGATACACAAGCTGAACGTAAGTCTTTTAATTGCTTTGGATCTATACGCCTGAAAGAAGCATGTGGCTTACGATCTTGAAGTTGGCCTTGTCAATGCGGAACAGGTCGACTTGCTCCAAGGACTCGAAGCGCATAATTCGGTTGAATTGGCAAAAATCCGGGATGACTGGGAAAGCCTTACACAGAACATCCATCACCTCGAAGCCGAAGTTGATGCGAGCCAGACGCTGGTGCGCGAAGTCTGTGCGGAACGAGAGGAATTGCGCAAGATGCTCGACAGCAAGCAAAGCGAGATCAGCTCAGAAGATCAAGAAGTTATGAAAGAGATGCAGATGCTCCTAGGCGAATTTGAAACCCACAATACCGAGGGCGGCGAAGTGCCCCAGAAATCGAGCTTCGAGCTCTTGAAGCAATGTGCGGGGGTTCTGGAGAAGAACGTTGAACGACTTGCTCAGCGTGCGGAGGTTAGTTTTTCATTACAATGTCCTTGTTATTTCTCATTTGGTTTGCGTCTGCTAATTCTAGCTTGGTTCTATAGTACATCCAGCAACAAAATGAGCTGGTCAAGTCACTTCGTGAGCGTATGAAGAACTACGAAGAAAATTTGGACGATGGCATTTCCAAAGAGCGGGAGGTAAGTCAAAGATGGAGCTGTTTATGCCTGGGACCTTGATTCTGTTGTGCTTAGTAGTATGCTAATGATACTTTCTAGCTTGAACTTCAAAATATCATCGATAGCCAGGCCCGAGAACTCAACCTTGTGGGCTCCGCTTGGTATCACCTTCAGAGCCGATGGCAGAACAACAATATGACGGTATCACGATATCGACATGGAGCCAGCACTGGAGATTCCAAGGGCTGGCTAGCAAAGCAAAGAAGCGCTGTTACTGGCTAGTAGAATGTTTTACGAATCAGGTTTGTGCCATTTCTTTTTACATATGCGTTTTATCTCGTTTTCTAATTTGGTTGTTGATATTCCCTCTATACATCCCGTCCTTCTTGTAGTCATTTCCTATAGCAATAGAATCCATGTCCAAATAGAACTCGTCATTTAAAAAACTCCACAATTTTGAGATTGTCCAGAGTTTAAAATCGAAATGTTTTTCGTCGTGTTCAAGCCGCCACACCAACAAGAAGGGGGAACATCGGGAAAGAGACATCTATAATGACTTTGCAAACGGCCATCAAGAAACATGTGGCAAGGTAGCATAAGCGGCCGACTACTCTTTTTAAACAAATCCATGTTAAAGTAGAGTGAGTTCATCGCATTCGGAAAATATAACCTACCTAAGTAGATCCCCGCTAAAAAAGAAAAAGATGTCTGTGAAAAACACAAAATTCTAGGTAATTAACCTAGCCCAAGGAGAAAAAAAAGGGGAGATGCAAAAATTAAAAGAAAATGATCTCTATACAACCTGACCGAAAGCAGGAATCAAAGTTTGTGCCAGCCAGAAGCTGAAGACCAGTTTGGGACCGGTCATCAGCAGCTTGGGGGTTAGACCCTTGAAGAAGCTGGTAGGGCCCTCGTTCTTGAGCATCGTGGAGACGATCTTGAAGCCAGACTCGGGGTTCTCAAAGTTGCGGTTCTGGATACGGGTCTTGATAACATCGAGGGGAGCGGACACGACTAGGGAGGCACTAGCACCGCAAACTGAGGCGACAAAGTTCTGGCCCCAGGTGGCAGTATTGTAGTCGGTCAGCTTATAAATCTTTTCCTTGGCGAAAGCAGATCCACCGAAGAGCTGTGACCAGAGTTAGTAGTTTCAGTGATGGCAGGCCAGGGGAAATCATACAGCGAAGGAGCCAGGAGCGTTGCGGGCGGCAGTCCAGCCAGCACCACGGTACAGACCCATACCCTCATCGGCAACAATTTTGAAAAGACCACGGCCACGGAAGGCTTCGGGGTTGGTCTGGCGCTTAATCTTAAGAACATCCAGAGGAAGCAGAATGATCTCTCCAATGCCGATCAAACTAAACGAGTTTGAGTCAGATCTATTCTCGCGGCCAGTTGCTCAATTGTTCTTACCTTCCAGCAGTGGCGTGCATAATGGCCTTTCCGGTACCCTTGCCAAATGCCTTGTCGAAGTCGGCACCGTGGTGCTGAGCAAGGTAATCGCGTGCGAAAGGCTGACCACCGTATTTGTAGATTCGCTGGAGAACCTATAGATTTGACATGATGTGAGCTGGTTGTTCTGCCAGTCTTCTGCTGTTGGTGGGAGTCACGAACCTTGTAACCGGCAGCGTACCCCAGACCGGGGAATAGAGAGGTGAACTTGCGACCGATTGTGGCATTGACGTGCTCCCTGAAGACAACCTCCTTGAAAGCGGTAGCGCTGGTAATCTGTCAAGGATCCAGTCAGCAAAAGGTACATTTTCGTTTGAAAACAATCTGAATCTCACCCGGGTCTGGTTGCTCATCAATCGCTTGGCGGTGGTGTCAACCTATGGAGGACGTCAGTGTCTAGCTGTAACGGATCTCGAATCTGAGGAGATTGTACTGGGTGGAAGATCATCAACTCAGCAATACCAGCAGAGCCTAAAAGAAGTCACAGGTCAGCAAATGAGTTGGTGTTTTGAACATCTGACGACTTGCCGGAACCGAGGAGACGAGCAGTGGCAGACTCCTTCTTGACATCCTTGGAGGCAGCACCAGCACTGGGAACAATAGCGGGAGACATTTTGTTTTTGTTTTTTTGTAAAGAAATCCCAAAAAAGAGCAAGAGAATGAGAACGCCGATGGATTCAGGAACATGTGCTTGGAGTTAAATTTTATCGAGGTAAATTCGGCACTAGTCCTGTTTTGGAGCCGCCATCGGAGAGCCAAGGAGTCGAAACAGGACTACTCCGCATGTATATTTACTTTACTTGGAGGTATCAAGTAGTAAATTGGGTCTAATCTCGTCGACAAGATAACAACAGATATGTTTCTAGACTCATTTCCCCTGTTTATACACTTTATAACCCCACAGTTCTATAGACATGAGTGGAATCAAAACCGCATCAGAATCCGTCGGTTGAAAGTGAGATGGATTCCTGCAATACAACGTGCTGACTGGCAGTAGATAACGTAAATAATGTGAAACTACATACCTTGACAGCGCTAATGTCTTGTATCTGTGGGGTTGAGGAACCGTTTGGGGTTAGTGTTTCGAAATAGTCCATGGTAACCGAATTTACCTACAACCACCAATGTACAGATTTAAATCCTCCATACAAAGTAAGGGACTCACTCCTTAAAATCGTGGCTTTTAAAATACCATATTGCTCTCAAGTGTAACCACTTTATCTAATTTGCTCGGTAATTTGTTTCCGGGTCGGGGTTTCATTATTACTCAATAGAACGACCAAGACACAAAATAAGAAAGTTGTCAAAAGAAACCCAGAATATTACCGCAATCAGAGAAAGCTCATAAAGATTGTAGTTGCGGCTAAAGAGCATAGTTGCCAAGCAAAGTTAGAAAGGAAATGCGCAGAACACCGAATGAAACGCCAGTGACCCAAAACCAGTCCCCAAGGTCGCAGAAGCCTTCTCGCCTGCCCGTTCATCCATCTTTGACTCACTCGTGCAGGTTAGAGTGACCGAACAGCAAATCAAATGAGAGAGACTGGACAACCTCTACAGGTCACCGAATGTGTTCTCGCCCGAGTATCTATCTGTTATGTCAGTATGATTTCATTTATGAACATCATGAAAAAGAAGGGAAAACCATACGTGATGTACAAGAAGCCATCTTCGTCCTTGTGCTCTTCGTAGATACTGCTCATGAGCGCAGCAGTTGGAGGGAGGACCTCATCAACGAAGATGAAGATAGCCTTCTCGGGAGAGAGCTTTATGCGCTTGCGGATCACATAGACAAACTGTCCCACGGTGAGGTCGGCCGGCACTAAGTACTTCTTTTTATCAATCGTGGCGATATCTGACTTCTCGACCTTCTCGCAGATGACCTGTAGGTTCACAAGTCCGTTAGCTACCGAACAAGCGGTGAGGGTTCGAGAGGTTGGTTGCAGCAACAACCTCATGCGGGGGGTAGTCCCCTGGAATCAAAAACACTCACAGGAATCCGGTCCGCATATTTCTGGCGGATGCGCTCAGCCTCGGCCTTTCGCTTTTCGAAGGGGTGCTCGTCCTTGAACTTGGATCGCATCTTGACTGATAAGGGTCGATAAGTGAGAGCGGGTCGGGTGGAGAGTTAGCAAGATCAAAAAACACCAGGAAGCTCTGGTGCGAAGTTGGCAGCAGTGACTTTCTTGATGGGAAGCTCTGGATGTGAAGTACCTTGCAGAAGATAGAAAGAGAGAGATGAAGAGGGGTGGGTGATAGAGGATGACAAGGCGACTCCCGCTGACGTTACGGTAATACTATCACGGGATCTATGGGCGGTGAGTCTACAGTCGCGCGGCAGAAATCAGATTGTCTCGATGGACGTGGAGAGCAAGGCTTAACTATCTCATTTACATCCCCCTGCTTATGTCCTCCGTATGTTGTATGGTAAATTCCATTTCACAAACTAAGCCATTGTCTGCCTACTTCTACCGTCTATCTAAGAAACTGATATTGGCATGATTTTTGGGAAAACGACATCGAAAAAGACTAGTCAAAAAAACATAACAACGCCGCAGCGGACAAATTTTGTACAATCTCAGTCAATCAAGACACTTCTCTATCTACTTGTCTGATTTTCATATCTCAAGTGAAACCATTCTTACCAACACTGGAACTTACATGTACTGCGCTGTTGGTGCCTACTTCAACACCGCCGGCCGCTTATCGTGCTTATCTCATCCAGCCAAACAGATCAAACTCAACACTAAGAAAGTCGTACGATTTGACACCGAGGTTGCGTGATGCTTTGCTGAATTGGTGACTCAATTCAACGTCTTCCCCAAATCATTGTTTGTGCAAATTTGAGCTCTTGCTCTCTCGTTTTTATTAGCCATTGATCCTTTGAAACTTTGTGCTGGCAGCCATTTGCGCAAACAATCCTATTCCAAAAATGGCCACCCGATCATATACGCCTCTGCGGAGGTCACTGGGGCAGTTGTCTGCTCGAAGCACCCGCATTGTTTGTCGTCGCGCTGGACCCTCGTTCCGCGGATACTCGACCGAGCAGAAACTGCGTGAACCGAAGCCATTCACTGTCTGGAGGCCTTACTTGCGCCTCGCCTTTGGTGTTCCTTTCATCGGCGGGATTATATACTCAATGGTATGATACGGCGCTTCAAACCACAGGGAATTTCGTTTACTCATCTATTACAGATGACAGAAGAAGTCACAGAACTCGACGCTCCATCCATGGTTGAGGTGGATGAGGCCCTAAAGCAATCATCCAAAATCAATGATTCCTCGCCGATGCGGTTACGGATGGAAAAGCTCATCAAGCAACACCAGCAGAAGATTATCGAGGAACTAGGCAGAATCGATGGGCAACAATTCAAGACCGATACCTGGTCGCGCCCCAATGGCGGGGGCGGCATTTCGTGTGTGCTGCAGGACGGAAACGTCTTCGAGAAGGCGGGTGTCAACGTTTCCGTGGTGTACGGTAAATTGCCCCGGCCGGCCATTGAAAAGATGCGTGCCGATCACAAGTCCTTTGTTGGCTCGGATGTGGACTCGCTGGATTTCTTCGCCGCCGGTCTCTCGCTGGTTCTACACCCACACAATCCCATGGCTCCGACGGTGCATCTTAACTATCGCTACTTCGAGACGTCAGATCCCAAGGACCCTATCAACGGGGACAAAAATTGGTGGTTCGGAGGTGGTACGGATCTGACCCCGTCCTACCTCTTCCCGGAGGATGCTCAGCACTTCCATAAGACCATCAAGGATACATGCGATCGCCATGATGCTACGTACTACCCCAAGTTCAAGGCCTGGTGCGACAAGTACTTCTACATCCCCCACCGTGGTGAATGCCGTGGCGTTGGAGGTATCTTCTTCGATGACCTCGACGCCAACTTCCTTCAAACTTCCGCTGGCTCCTCCTCCAACCCGCAGGAGACGCTGTTCTCCTTCGTTTCGGACAGTCTGGCGTCTTTCCTTCCTTCCTATGTGCCCATCGTTGAACGACGCAAGGACATGCTGTACACCCCAGAACAAAAGGAGTGGCAACAGCTTCGTCGGGGCCGCTATGTGGAGTTTAACCTTGTCTATGATCGCGGAACTAGCTTTGGCTTGCGCACACCCAATGCCCGCATTGAGAGTATCTTGATGAGTCTCCCACGTACCGCCAGCTGGGCTTACATGGACCCTGTCTCTGGCACGAGGACGGAGAACATGCCTGTGGATGAAGATGACTTGACGGAGGATAAGACCAGCGAGAGAGAGCTTATGGATGTGCTGCGCCACCCCCGACAGTGGGCTTGAATTATTCCTATACAATTCTCGGTATATGGTGTATTGTGGTGTTTTCTTGATTTAAATTTGTATACTACCTTCAAAACATGTAAACTAAATGTGAATAATTATTGAGATATCTCTACCTGTCCATGGCAAGTCTTGAGCAAGAGACACTAACGGTTCCATATTAAGACACGACGCCCACAACTGATGAAATTAAGGAATGTCATTCTCAAATAATTCCAGATTGTTAGCCTGACACTTGGAAAGCAACTGGGGTACGCTAGTCCAGAAATTCAACGATGTGGCTTAACTAACCAAACATTTCGATACATTCAACTTCTTTGGTAAGATGGCCGAGTTGGTCTAAGGCGCCAGGTTAAGGTATACCTTGACTTCACAACTAGCAATAGTTTCCTGGTCTCGCAAGAGGCGTGGGTTCGAATCCCACTCTTATCATTTATTTTTTGGGGTTTTGTTCATGGAACTCGTCACTTTCCTTTTCATCCTTTTTCTATTTGCACCTTTAAATAATCGAACAATGGATATCAATTGTTAAAAAGTGGTATCTAAGATTTCCTGCGCAGGTTTGCCGCGTTGCATAACTTTTCTTAGCGAGGAGAAGTTGCCACCATGAGTATTAACTTTTTACATCACATGGCTTGTAGTGTTCACAGGATGCTACACCCCAGTACCTACGGTGATGATTATCGTCCTAGCCCTCCCCGGTACTCCTGGATGGCCAAATCGAACCAAATTCACAGCCCACGGAGTATCCCATGCTCCTCAGGTATTCGGGTTTTGCTGATACGAGAACCCTTAATGCCCGCTCCAAGGATGTTTCATCGAGCGCGTCATGCTCCTCGGACAGTTCCCATTCCAAGGGTCAATATGCTACCCTCAAACGAGAGCCTATTCAACGCAACCACTTAGAAATTCAACCATGGGACAGGGGAATCTGGTACAATTTGTCCCAGAATTAGGAAAAGTAGTCGACATATCCTCTCCACCCAGAAAGCCAAACATAACGCCAAGCCCAAACAGGAGATAAAGTACATAACGCCTCCACCATCCTATTGATTTGCCGGTTTGTTTTGGCTGCCAACATTGCTAGGATTACTAGCATCTTAAGAGTGCTAGCTAATGACCGTGTGACCTAATTTAATACCGCCTTGCCTGGGAGTCAACTACCGGATGCTCTAGGAATATAGACCAGAATCATCTGTACTTCGTACCAGATCCAAACGAATTCATCTATTTCCTTCTTTACTTTATTTTTGACCCAAGGAAACCAATTCAACAATTAAAAACAACCCCTCGAAAGTCGTGAAACATCAGTTA